CTTTACCAAATTCAAACAAATTTCTTCAAAACAGCGAAGTTGTCGTTTCGAAATATTTTCCAAAAGAAAACGACGCTGCTTGGGTTTCAGCGATCGCAGGGTAAGGAGAAACGGTGCAAAGTCTTTTAAAATCTGATCACACATTCTTGGGCAAGGTTGTCGTATGTGGATTAATGTAAATTTTAGTCAACTCTCCCGGTAATATTGCTGAACGAATCCTTAAATAGGCAGGTGTGTCCGGTTTCATATCCAAAATGAGAGGTTGAAATGGTTCCTGGCCGACTTCCTCGTAAGCTCCGCTGAGATGTTTTAAACCAGTCTGCCTTTCTAGAATCTTGATTTGGTTCACATCACGATTATTTTTGAACAGTATAAGATATTGTGCATTAAGATGCACGTCTCGCATAGCAGACCCTTGTTTATATAGGTTATTGAATAATAGAAATACACAAAGCCGTTTATGGTGTACTTTTTTGAGTGAAGAGTTTAGCCAAATGCTCATTTTTCACCAAACCACTTGCCACGTCATCCAGTATCAACAAAATATTTTGTTTACCATCAAAATAATTTTCATCCTCCACAATTTGTTGAATATTTTTGTCAGTTCAATCCAAGGGACTTTGCGCTGAAGCACTTCGTAGGCTGGCTGCATTTCTCCGTACACCAAAATAATTCGTCCAAATGGTTGGTCAAATAATTTATCGCGCTCCATAATTAATTTTGACACATATGTCGTTTTCCCCGAAGTCGTTGGCCCCACAACAAGGACTGAAGCGGGTAGTCGGAATCTCAAATCAGCTGTCGTGCGCGGATACCTATTTAAGGAATCCATTTCCAAAGGGCGGAGCTATTGCTAGCGTACCGATAACAGAATGGAGACTTCAAAGCGGAGGGTTGTCTTAGATATTGATTGGTTTATCGCTGGCTCCCAACGGCTTATAAAACAGCTGGCATTTTGTGATTGCCCAACTAGTGTTAGCAGGTGCTACACATTCACCATTCCATCCCACTTTAATCGTTACCGCGTTGAATTTAGGAGCCAATCGCGTCACTCACACGGACTTGTCTGGCATAATCGTGGAGATTATTTATACTTGGACATCGCCAGGGCGATTCAGGATATGCTGGAGCTTATTGGTGAACGACCTGCGCGTTTGACGTTTTTGCCAAAGGATTGGAAAAGCAAAAGATTTTGGAAAATTATTTGCCTGAAGTGTTTAATCTTGAAGACATTGGGTGCCCGAAGTTTAAGGAGCTTACTTCATTACCACAAACAACGCTTTCAAAAGCGGAGACATTTGCAAATTGGCTGAATGGCGAAAATAACTAACGTTGTTGCAACTGCTGACCTTGGCTGCGCAATTGACTTACCCAGCTTATCCGAACGCGCTCCGCTTTCTCATTATGCACCACATAAATTTTCCGGGCTTCTTCTCCGTTCCATTCGTCCTTACAAATCGCACTGCCAAGTGTACCGCAACGGCAAGATCACAGTTAATGGTGCAAAGTCCATCAGTGATGCTCTCGCGTTATTGGATCACTATTACCGGAAACTGCAAAAATACGGCTATCAAAAAGCATCGTTAAAGAATCCAAGAATTGTTAACATTGTCGCCACTTTCAATTTTGGGAAATTTCTTAGTTTAGAGAAATTATACAACTCAATAAGAGCAAAAGCTGATGCCATGTTTGAACCTGAAATATTTCCGGCCATGCGAGTCCGGCTTCAAGGTTGTACGGCGATGATTTTCCATTCTGGAAAAATTAATTTATTAGGTGCAAAAGATGCTGATACTCTTCATACTGCTGAAAACAGAATTGCGCCTGTTATTAGGAACCTAAATGCAGCAGTAAATAAAATTACAAAAAAAGCTATCGTTGCATATTTCTGTTACCTGGCATTACAAAGCATTAGTGCTAAATTTATTAAGAAATGTAAAGAACGTTTACCCTTAAAAGTATCTGGTACATACTACATATACAGTGCAATACTGTACAATACATTACTCATTAATTATGATAATTAGATTTTATTACGAAATGTATTTTTTTGTTATAAAAGCATTGAGCAAACATACAAGCATATAATAATAATTTTTGTAATCAGGAAACTGCGGAATCAGCAAATTACGCCATACCGTTGACAAGGTGGAAAAATTCTTTGAGAAGTTCAGGCCAACTTTTTCCACTCAAACCCTCGTTGTTTATAGCAGCCCCGAAACTATGTACACATGACAAATACAGCATGGGTTACAACGTAATATAAACTAAAAACACTTGCTTCACTTACTTCGTGTACAAGAAATTCATAAATTCTGCAATTAGCGGAGTAATCGTTAACAGAAATGTGGCTTTGGCTCCAGTGGAAAAAATTTTGCAGCGACCCTGGCGGACTTTTTCCAGTTGATCTGCACGCACGCATAAGCATGCACGCAGTAGACTGCAAATAATTGTCAAAATTGATTACACACTACAGGCATAATGTACAGTAATAAAGAAGATAATATTCCATCGTACCTGTTAGTTTCCATGATTATATATGTATAAATAAATTGAGAATAGAGCAGCTAGTAATATCCACTGAAAAGTAATTATATTTCACTTACTATGCGTTGAAAGGCTTTGACGAGCCAGATGCGTTAAAGTGCTCCTCCATAGTGTAAAAGAATGTAAACAACTTGTTGAATCAAGCAGTGAAAGTAAACCAATATAACTGTACAGTGTACAGTAGTATCCATATAGTACAGTACCATCCATCCATCCGTACAGTACTCCAACCATTGGGCGCATGTCAAGTTTCACAATTATATATAAGCCGTGCACAATCCAGTTAAGCAATTAAACTACTCGATAAGTTGACAAATAATTTGTATATTATAAGTGCGCAGCATTACTATAAGTGTTTTCAATCAATAAGAGACGCGCATGGTATGCAGCACCATCGCTGACGAGCCAGTTGCGCTAATGTGCCAATGCCGCTCCATGCGGTAAAAGAATGTAAACAACCACTTGCACGCGTGCAACACGGCTGCACAGGTAGCTGCATCTGGGCTGCGAGCATCCTTGAGGTATGCACAGCAGATGCACCAGCGTGTGTGTGTGATTATCAGTAAGTGAGTAAATTAGTTAGTGTACTTCTATACAGTGTACATATGCAGTAATCATATGCTGCAGTTGTGCTGAATCATATGCTGCAGTTGGGAGCTGCAAGTACAAAGTACAACCGGGAATTGTAACTAGAAAGTCCAGCTCCCAACTCCAGTTTATGACGTAACCGACGCCATCTTATGTTTATACAGTATACTGTTTCTTCTATAAGATATTAACAAAACTAGTAATGTATAATAAATACACACTGGCACGTAAGCGTACCATGTAACAACCGGCGCGCACGCCATGAACAAGTCATAAAAAAGTCAGCATCATGCATTTCCGCCGGAAAGGATACCACGGCAGAAGTACGTACGGAACATTTTGTCACATTTATTCGTCGCAGCAACAACTGATCGCAGCGCTTCCATGGAACAATATACGAAAAACGCAATCGCATCAATTGGCATTCTGCCGCCGTAGCATCTTCAATCTGTATTAGGAACTCCCTCATCCGTCTGCAAGCAGCGCCCGCTACAGAGTACAGGGAAACAAGGAATACAAACACATTCCTCATCGGCATCTTGTAAAATGGAAAGGTCATGAATTAATCAGGGAATGTTTGTGTCTGCGGTCAGCTCATTACGCCTCTTACTGTGCCCAGAGAAAACGATTCGGATAAGTTTTCATCGAGGTAGCCATTCACAGTGGCGCTATCGCGAGCAAGACTTAACCTGATTACATCAGTTAATTGTAAGCTGTAAGATCATGCGCGGAACTTTGGATATTGCATCGATAGCTTGCCAACGCGCACAAGTGTCAAGATCAATTATTTTATCAGAGTTCCAACAACTTTACAACAACGGTCAGCATTCTTGAAGTTTTTTTCCGTAAAGTTTCAAAGGGTACTTTAGAGCAGTACTTCGGTGCAAGAAGGATCTTCTTAAATAAGAAGATCTTACTTACATAGACTTACTGCTAAGGAATTCCTTATAAGGAAAGAAGGAAAATCAATAAGGAAAACGATGGGATTCTTGCAAAAGGGTCAGGATAAAATTGGCATCGTGCTGCCACACCCGGCCGGTTACAATTTCATTTCTGCAAGCACAGAAAGTCCCTGGATTTCCTTCCTTGAAATGTTCAGCTAAACGATTTTCGTGAAGCGTAAAACGTGTCCAACAGAAATAACCGCAGAAATACCAGCTATTCTGGAAGTTAATATCAGACAGGAGAGTAGTTCGGACAGACGTATCTGTACAAGTTATTCGGGAGAAAATCGCTCATCGTGCGGTACGACAATTACGAGATATGAGCCTAACACGCAGTAAAAACATTCCGAATTGTACGCGCCTAAAACGGACGGGCGGACCGAGATGAATGAGTCAGGAAAAGGAATCGAATGCAGCGCACAAGCATCCGCATATGGTCGCAATATGCATGCTACGCACAAAGCCGGCCATATACGGCGGATTGTGCGCTGCAGCCGGCAACGATATCTATTCCCTTCCGATTCGCAAAACGTCCCACAGCTGAGCAGCACCGGCAGTCAATTAGAACACACACCCATTACAAATGAAAAGATTTCCAAAGGTCACGGTCAGAATTATTAAGCATTATGCTGCTCACCACTTTATTAAGCAGTATGTGCTGGATTTTATCGACAAGCTAGCTTTTAAAAGTTGAATATAAGAAGCGACTAGGAAAGAAGCGGGATAACTAGAATACTATGCACAATAAGCACCGTTTAATTACTGAACTGTAACTCGGCAAAGTAGCAGCTGATTCGTTCCGCTTTTTGATGAGTGCCGTTTGGTACTTATTTGTGCAGCTTTCTCCTTGTATTAACTGCAAGCAATTTTGTCAGGCGATTACTGTATATCAGCGCTCATCCTTCCGCATCGATCTCTGGATATTGAACTTTACAACTTTGTACGTATAACAACTTCTAGCCTATATAAAAAAAATTCATGTTTTTTTTGTTAGTTTTACTATACGGTAACATTACTGGTATTCAACATACGAGGAAGCACCATTCAGCAGCAACGATTTACAGCAAACCAAACCAGTACTTCAAATAACAAAGTTTTATAACAAGTATACGGTGGTTTAAATAAATTAAGCTAGTCCATCCACGGCCGCCACACGCCGCCGTGCAGCGCCGGGTCGGAGGCCGGGTCGTTGAGTATTCTAATCACCGGGTGGTAACTGGCGTTCCAGCGGCGAATGTGCTCCAGGAGCTCCTCCAGCACTTCAGGACGGGCGGCCGCCAAATTATTCGTCTCACAGGGGTCGTCCAGCAAATCGAAGAGGCACACCTCTTTCTCTGGGCTACACGGCGTCTGCTCCCGCCCTTCGGGGTGGTGGCAGTGCACGCGCGCCCGCGTCTCCACCTGCTGCGGGTCGGCGTCGCTGGTCCCAAACGGCCGGGTCCTAAACAAAACGAACATTACTTTTACGAGCGAGGCGAGCGAAGAAAGCGCTCGAACCATTTATTGGACTCCCGGGAGCCGTTGAAGTAGTTCCCGGTGACCACCTTGTACCGTCCGGCAATTAGGCCCATGCGGCCTTCGGTGTGGTTGATGTCCAGGGGCGTGATGTGCCGGGGCCCGGCGCGGCCCGTCAAAATGTAGTCCCAGTGGTTATACCCGTGCGTGGAGCTGTTGGCCAATATGTAGTTATCGTGGTGCTCGTCGGCCAGCTCTGGGACATGCGTGGAGGCCACCAGGGTGGGCAGGAGATCCGTCAGGTGCATCGGGTGCTGGTAAAGACTCCCGCCGGCCACCGCGTTGTACGGGCCGCCCCACACGAAGCCCGCCACGCGGACCCCGCCCTCAAAGAGCGTCTGCTTCCCACCGCGCAGGGGCCAGTTACTCGCCGGTCTGGTTAACCAACACGGTGACCTTTAGCCTCTAACCCCTTCTCTCAGTAAACAAAAAATTACTTAATATAAACTATAAAAACAGTAAAGTAGATAAGTAAAACGCTAAAAAATAAATAAATAAATATTCCAATAAAAAAACAAAAATTATTTTTATAAAAAAAACTAATCATTTTTGTTTTATGACAAAAACTTCCTGTTTTTATACTATAATAAGTAAAAAATACCGAAGTTAAACAAACTTTCCGTTTTATTTTTTTTAGTTCATTTGTCTATTTGCATTAGGTAAAATAATGGTATAAAAAAGGAAAATAAATCAAATACATACGCAGCGACACCGAAAGTGCCGGGTTGCGGTAGCGGGCCGCCGTTGTCGGAGAGGAACCAGACGACGGTGTTATGGAGAAGCCCAGCGTCGCGGATGGCGTCGTGGATGGTGCCAACAGCGTCATCCACTGCCTGCATCATTGCTATGAAAAACAGCGCATTTTCTGCACCAACAAATACCGTCAATTAGCAAAAATTTACCTGCGTATTTGCGGCGCCCCGGGTGGGCGATGGCCTGGACCGATGGTCGGTTGAGGTACTTGGGAGCCGTCTGCAGGGTGTCGTTGCGGTTAACGCTGCCCCGCGGGGCGTTGGGGGCGAAGTAAAGGAAAAAGGGCTGCGAATGCAGTCACCGCGGGTATCGATAGAACCGCATTGAAATTGTGCGATTAAAAAAAGCAAAAGTTAAAAATTCAAAATTAAAATAAATCTTTAAATAGATATATACAAAATTTAAAAATTAACAGAAGATTAAATAAAAAAATTAATTTCAACAACAATTAAAAAAAATAAAATAAAATTTTAAAAAATTAAAATTACAATATAAGCATATAAAGATCCGTATGATAAAGTTAATCTAGTGACCTTTTGGGCGGCCGCTCGCTCCTGGATCAGCGCCTGCCCCCAGTGGGCGAAAAGGTCAGTGACGTAGGTGCTCTCGTTGAAGCGCAGCACGTCCGATCCGTTGTACATATTGTATCCCTAAATTATTGAATAATTAGTTACAATAATAATCGTCCAAAATCCAGCCATCAAATCATTATTTCCACCTCGAAAGTCTGATAGGAGTAGTAATCGAGTACACCGCCGGGTGTTCCCCAAAAGGTATCGAATCCGCGTTTATCTGCAGATTATTATGGCCATAAAATAAAAATCTTGGGAAATCGTGGTGGATATTAAGGAGCATGTATTACGAGGCAGATACGCCGTCTGGTGATCCCCGAGATGCCACTGCAACGAGTAATCAAATTCCGTAAAGCAGACCGGTTTAAAACGTCATCCTACGCATGCTGCATGCAAGCTCGGTCAAAATTGGCGGGACTGATGTACGATGCGTTGCTTGCCTTGCCGATCATGTGGGTGGAGTAGCCCAGTTGCCGCATGTATTCCGGCAGGAGCTTGTGCTGCAAGGGCAATCCCCACGGCTCGCCGGGTTTAATCGGGTGACCCTGCATCCCTGATAAGCGTTATTAATTTTTTATTGCGTAAAAAAAACCCAAAAAACCTAAGAGAAATCATTAAAAAAGTCTAGTGTAGATATATTAAAAAACACCTACTGAAAATATTATAACAAATTTCTAAAAAATCGAAATTTTAAAGATGTGTATAATAGAAACGAAATCTGCACACAATTTTTCATCTGATAAATCTTTCGCATGAATTAAGGGAACTGGCCCGTTAGTACATGGTACTAAATTCCTGTACATGGACGAAAACTTTCACTTTCGCGCTCTCCCAAATACTTCTTTGCTTTGTTTTATGACATTCTGTAGTCAATGATTTGTATACAGTACACAGGCGAGAAAACCGTTTGTGCGCGCAACATCCGGTTCGGGAGTTATGGCTCTTAAAAAAATTCTAAAAAGTTTAAATGCATTCAGGTGTACCAAAAGTGTCATTATGAACCGATCTCCTTCAAATTTTGCACGTAAATGCTGGCCATGAAGATCGTTTCTAAACCGATCCAGAGTTTCATGATTTTTTTCAAATTTTAAAATGAATTTTAAAATTGGAAGGAAATGGTAGAAACCTGGTTCGGGACCATAACCATCTACGTAATAATGTGCGTTTTCGTGCAGAATTTAAGGATCATTGGTTCATAATGAGACTTTTGGTACACCTCCGCCCGTTTAACTTTTGGAATTTTATTTCATTATTAACTTTCGAACCGGATGTTGCGCGCGTACACGGATTTCATTCCTAGGGTAGGAATACAAATCCTTGGGCTACTTAAGCATGTCAGAAAGCAATGCACAAAAGTTTTTAGGAGTGCGCGACAGCGAAAATTCCCGTGTATGTACCCGAATTTGATGGTTATTACCGGGCCAAATCCCTTAATTAAGGTAGGACGGAGTGATACGGCAATAGTACTATGGGCATATGTGATTCTACTGTATAATTATATACCGATGGTGAAAGGGTATTTGCCGGTGAGGAGGGCGGAACGGGAAGGACTGCAGGTGCAGTGCGTGTACATCCGGTGCAGGATGATGCCCTCACGCGCCAGCCGGTCGATGCGCGGCGTCGGAATCTGTGTCGAGCCGTGGAAGCTAACGTCGTTAAAGCCCTGTCCAGATATATATGTAAGTCATTGCGCAGAAGAAAACTAAAAGCCGCACTGCTATAAGGAGCCAGTGGATTATCATTGCGTTCAAATATATAACAATATATTTAACAACAACAATATATATAACAACAATATATAACATATATATTTTTATCCTTTAGTGATTGAAACGTTGGGAGTATTTGGCCCCGCTTTCAGTGAACTGTTGCATTTCATGGGCCGTAAAATTCGTGATTTAAGTGGAGAAGCGCGTTCTACTGCTTTCATTAAGCAGCGTTTTAGTCTCGCCGTTGTAAAAGGAAATGCTACGGCTGTTTTGAGCACGTTACCTTTTAACCCAAGAGAAGATAGAGATTTTGGTTGTTGTTTTAATGTTTAAATTTTAACTTTCACGTAGTGTACCGGCGCTTGCAATCATTGTTATCTTGGCGGCTATTGCCCAATAAAACTTATAACATATATAAATATATATAAATATCTAAATGTGTATACTATATACACTGTAATTTAAACATAAAATTCCTTAAAAATTACAGTGTAACATAAACATAAAGTAATTTAAACATAAAATAAAAAAAATTGAATTTAGCGGAGTACCATGTCGTCGAGGAGGACGAGGACGATGTTCGGTCGGATGGGATGGTTGTGTAGTTCGTGGCCGTGTTGATCGGGCGACCGCCCTCGGCGCAGTCCAGATCCTGTCCGGATCCGGCCGCGTCCCCGCAGTCTCTCGCTGCAGAAGCCGCCGGCAGCGCGCTGATACTTATGCACGCTGCCACGATCGTCCACGTATACAGATACAGCTGCCTCGAATCCATGCCGAGTATACATATATAGTCACAACAATTTCAGCCACTAATTAAAAATGTGTATCAAAGTATGATATCATAACGTACACGTATGTCATAGTAGTGACTTCAGATTTCACATGAAAATCATTAGAAAAAATACCGTGATCAAGCCACATGCGCCATCGGGCCGTCGGTAATCTGCAGCAAAGTTTCGAGTTGCAGTACATTTACACGTTATACCGTACCCCAGCGCCGTACTTCCGGTCTTGGTCTTATTTAATTCACTGGCACAGTGTGGCATTGGTGCGGGTCGAAGGTCACCGAGGTGCACGCTGCAGAGTAGATCAAGATCGGCTACCGATTTAGCGCTGAGCGATAGCAGGGCCACTAATATACTCTACTATGAGTTTACTACAGACGCGATGGAAGAACAAGTACAAGTGGTACGTATACAAGCCTGTTCCGTAATTTCTAGCGTACAAATAAAGACAGTCCATTTCCAGCGCGAAGGTGGCGCGGTGAACGGTTGCCATTACGTACACTACCTCGACCGTCATGACCAATTCACTTATCTAAAAATTTACGATAAGCACAAAGAAGAAGAGTCGATATGTTCTCACTTACGAGTATTTGCATAGTTAATAATTTAGATCGATACTGCGACGTACATCGTAGGCAAAATAGTGCGGATGTTAATAGTAATTACGTTATTTGCTTATAATAATTTTATTATGATGTGTACGTAGTTTGTACAACTACCGAAGCAGTAATGTCAGCAATTAACGCAGCTTGCCAGAATTAATCAGGGTGCACTTGTCCTACTCAATACGTTTTGAAAATTACTGCGCTTATTCCACAGGAGCTGTTTGTTAGTACAGGTCAACCGGGAACCGACATGGTGCGCACTGCGTTGTTCCAGTGTTACAGCCGCCGCGGGATTGTGATTTCTGTGCACGATGCTACCGCCACAGTGCTTTAGATATTGCAGATTTTAAACATTATCGTATCAACCACGGAGAGCCTGTTGTTGATCAAAAGAACCGCATTAATGGTAGTGAAAACTTTAGGAATCAAGCAAAGCGACATATGAGGAAACTGAATGACACATCGAAACAGAATTTTGCTTTATTTTTAAAGGATCGTGAAAGGCGTAACAATCCAAAGCCAAAAATACAAATGAAGCGGTTAAATGAGGGAAGCAACAGCACTTCTCAGCATGCCGGTTTGGAAAGCAATCTGACCGTTTAGTGTCCAATGATTATTTTGTCATTTACGGGAAAAGAATCACAAACACCTTGTCGCCTCCTGATGCCCATGCCCGTCAACGGGTTAAATAAATAATATCGGAAGTAATAGTTGAAACTAGTTAAAATAGCGTTAAACTGGCTGAAGCAAACAGTTACGAGTTTGTATACAAGTAGACGAAGTGATTAATATTAAACATGCTACCGAACATTGCTTCGATGTAAGACTAGATAGGGCAGCCGCTGGCCGAGAGCCGGCTGAGGGTTTTTGCAAGCCGTAGCCGATCTCGGGCCGTCTACTTAAGCCGGCTGATGGCTCCAGCCAGCTGCGGCTTAGCCGACTCGGCTGAAGCGGCTTGAGCGGCGGCATTACGATGCAACTTTAGCGTCAATTTTGGCGCCGCCATGTCACCTTGTGAGCCAGGTTTGCGCTTATTTCAGTCGGACTCATGTAAAAAGCCGTTAAAACATGGTGTTTGGCATAACATTTCCGAAGTGCTAACGTGAGAACGGTGGCCGATGCGGCATATTCAGACAGGAATTCCCAAATAACTTGTTTTGTTTCATCGGAAACGCTTCAAAATTCATTTTTCGCAACAATGACAAAACGCCTACGATTTTTTGTGAATACCTACCACTCCGGCGATGATGTTTTTGTGTGGCTCAAAAATTTTTTTGAAAAACCTTAAGTTTTTTACAGTTTTTCTGCAACCGGCTTAGCCGGCGGCCGGTTGAGTTGCCGGCTAAGGACTTCAGCCGTTTAGCCAGCCGCTGCCATCTCTAGGTGGGACCTTTGAATAAACGTACCTATATTTAAACCAATTTGTGACCTTTATGTACCGATATATCTACCGTATTCCCAGCTGCACTTGCAAATAAACTTTACAGCGCTGGCAGTTGTACGCTATGCTGCAGCATTCAAAAGTTCAGTTTCAGTAAGACTGCCAGCAGTAGCCTGTGCGGTTGGCAACGCCAGCAAACTGTTGTAGTTTGTTTACTTCTTTGAGCACCTGACAACGGTATCTTCTAAGATTTTCCCTGCTTTCAAAATTTATCCGGAGAAAGATTAAACATATTAATCGCTCGGAAAGACTCAAAGTAAAACGGTTCGTGGCACTTTACGCTCCTATTCAGTTCATTCAACGCTATGTCGTGAACTGAATGAACTCAACCTTGCCATTTACAGCGTGCTCAGTCAACAGTGTAGAAAAATGTTTGCAAGTGCAAATGGGATACTAGTGCATTTGCGTTTCTTACTTCTTCTTGCCGTGGACTGGTGTCAGCTGGTGTGCCTGCCAAACTGGAACCGCGCGGGACATCCCACACAACAGATCGGCGTCCCGACGGCTGCACAACTTTCGCCTGGAAGCGCGGCATGTGTCTCGCTTGGGACGTGACTTGTGTAGACACGATGGCGGTTTCCCATCTCAGAGCCACCTCCGTAACCGCGGGAGCGGCAGCGGCACAAGCCGAAGAGAAGAAGTCGGGACTGTATTCCTACCTGATCGGCCGCTATATTTTCGCACCAATTGCCTTTGAAACGATGGGACCGTGGGGACCCTCTGCTATGGCCATCGTCAAGGAATTAGGCACGAGACTGCAGCAACATACTGGGGAGTCCCGCTCTCACGAATTTCTGCGACAACGATTGTCGCTGGAAATCCAAAGAGGGAATGCGACATCTGTACTCGGGACCGTGAGTGAAGCGGATAAATTGAATGAGATTTACCTGTTATAACTCTTTTCTTTATAACTTTATTATGTTCCGATATCTTGCGCCTTGTGTTCGATTTGACCAATAAAGTTCATCAATTAAAAAAAAAATAAACTTGTATGTGTACAAATCACGCATACATCTATACAAGTAGGCAAAAGTAGGCCGGGCCAGCCAATGGCAATTTCGAAAACGTCTTAGTTGTATGTATGTATGCGTGATTTGTACACGTACAAGTTGCAGCGCTAATGCACTACAATTCTCTACAAGAGAAAATAACAAGGGGTGTGACCTATGCACAGTCTTACAGAGAACGAGAATCCTTCACCTAAATTTGTGCGGTCTGACATGCAATTCTTTGCAAAATAAAACTGGTATGCAGCGGTAGAACAGCAATGACGGCGGCGCGCATATGACCACACTAACGGCACAATAGTCTAATGTGTTAACAGATATTACACCAAGTCATCGTGTTGTAATTAATTGTGTACTGAAATTTCAAAATGTGCAAATAATAATATTAACATATCGAGTAAACGGTTTCGAAAGATGAAAGATTAAGAATAATTAAGCATCATTACAACATCGTAACGCCATTATTTCGGAATAAAAAATGGCAGCAAAAACACGCGATTTCGCATATAACACTTCGGTGTTTTAACTAGAGCACTGCAATGGTGTATTTCGACATACAGTACATTACATTTCGACATGTAGACACTTCGGCACACGCGGGTATTTCGGCATGCTACTGTTGCACAAAAAGGTAAATTTGTGTTTTTAATTTGTCAAAATCGTTTCTTTGGAATGTCGGTAAACCGTATCCATAAGGTTGTAGCCATTTTTTAATTTCTTAGATTTTTTAGGTCTGCTATGCTTTATTTAAAGTTTTGTTCATGTTTTTATTGGGGTCTGTAGCGTTATCATTGTGCGAGAGTTTGCTATATTCCTTAGATCACTGAGAATGATTAATTTCTCCGATACTTTTGAATGCAGATTCTATGCCGAAATGGTAGCGCACCCGCACCGCCGATCCGTTGCTACAGCAACGCTCAATAACTGATTCGGCTGTCTGTCCCGTGCAGCTGCAACAGATGGTTTGGTTAACGGGCACGATTTGGATTAAACTCAGTCTGCGTCTAACCTGAGTAGCAGCGCGCCGAATACTTGTTGGGTATTTGTACAGAGACGATTTCTAGCACAGCTGCATGGCATTGATTGCAGGGATCCTTCTTCCAGGGAAAATCGGCATGATGAACTGCGTTCTCTTACTAGGACTGCTGGCCACTATGTCTAGCTGGCTGGTGCAGCGCTGCCGTGCGGAGCAACAACTGACAGCCCGTAAGTTGCCACGTGCACTGTCGCGATGCATCCGTGCGTGTTACGCCGTTGTCTTACCCTGCAGTCGAGCGTGCGGTGCAGGAAGCCGAAGCCAACATGACTGCCAACGTCGTGCGGCTGCCCGCACTCCCGGAGGACGTCGTGCGGCCGCTGTCCGATGTGGTGCGGACCCGGTTGGCCGGCGTGGCCATGTTCTTCTGTGATACCGCCACGCCCGAATCGGCGCAGCAGATCATCTGGCGCCACCAGAACGCCACCATCCACGCTGACCGTCTGCCGGCCTCCGCCAAAGGCGACAGCTACTACCGGCAGGCCACCAGCGCCGACACCAGCTACTTCTTCATTCACCGCGTCAGCCGCGACTCGGGCGGGACGGTGGAGTGCCTGCTGCCCTGCGACGGTCAGCTGTGTCATGTGCGCACGCATAATCTGCTGCCGAGATTGCGCGCCCGCGACGCCTTCCTGGCGCCCCTGCGCAACGTGTCCACGCCGCTGCGCAACTTCTCCATGACGTGCAGCGGCCGTGTGGACTGCAGCCGGACGGGATGGGAGGCGCACTTCATCTGGAAGTACGACGGGCGCTTCGTGGCGGCGCCCTACCACGCTCTGCGCATCCTCGCCGGCAACTCGCACACCCCCGGTCTGCTGCACAGCACCATCCACGCCAACGTGTCGGCTCCAGGAGCCCGTGATACTTTCTGCGCCAGCACGCTGACCATCATCATGAGCCCGGCCGCCAAGCCACCACCAGCGCGGGTAGACTGCTGGCTGCGCACTGATATCGGCCGCCACGACTGGTTTGTCCAGTCCGCATACGTCCATTTCACGCCGTCGTTGCGATAAATCTACAAGGAGGCCTCATCATCCGGGGTTTGTCCACCCTAGCACCGTACCACACATAACGTTGTCCTCGCCTCGACAACAGTCGGCAGCCGTACCGCTCATCATTAATTACCAGGGCACATATTTAATTCAGTCAAATCTCGCTTTTTGTAGACTGTAATTAAATTTTTTTTCATTAAACTGTAATTAATCTTTTCAGCAAACTATATGACTGTATAAAAAATACATTTATTTTCAACCTGTGCCAGCAGATGCCATTTACACATAAACTCTAAAAACCCCACAATTAGAACAAGTAAAACAACTCTTCTAACCCTCTAGAAAATCAACCGTCCCCATGACAGATGCCGCATTTCCGCGCTGAATTTCCACGCTTATACGATGCCACAAATAATCACTAGCGCGCGCTTCTCCTGTTTGTTCTTTGATAAGCCGGCCGACTTCACAGAAGAACTGACGGGTACTTTGGCCGCAACTTCCCGTAGTTTCGGAAGCCACAGGCTGGAAATAATACTGATCAGTGAGTTAAGAATAGAGGTTTCGCTTTCGCAGTTCCGCGTCTTTTGCAGCCGATCCCGCTGCTTCTGATGAGCCGGCGATATACGAAGTAGCGAGCGTCTCGCACACTGTCACGTCTCATATTAGGGGAAGGCCGTTTTTCCACGGAAAGAGTGATACGCCATCTGGCCGCTTCCCATCCGTTCTGCTCGACCCAGGAGGCTCCAAAATTGTCGGTACCTTTGCTGAACCCAAGCTCCTTTGAATAACGCTATTCAAACTGCCACGTCTGTGAAAGCTAATTTACAAGGCCGGCCTCGGAGTGAAGAAAAAGGCTAAGAAATCGAAAAAGAAAAAATCTGGTGATGACGCACTGAGGAGAGCCGTCAACACAAAGTTACAGGACGTTATGTACATATAAAATCCTTTGAATTAAATTAAAAGCGCTTAGAAATATGTAAATACAAGTATCGGTAGCGCTAGCGCGCGACCAGTTGTGTTCAACAGTTCAAGGTATGGAAGAATGAAAGAAAATACAAAATATACTTCGTGCAGCAATAAAATATTTCAAATATAAAACCCCACCGAGGCCACCTACGAAAATATTTTAAACACGTAGAAATGCGGACAGCTTTCAAGCTTTCCGGTTAAAATCGATAAGTTTGTAAAAACTGTAATAATCTCCGTAATTTTGTCTTTTTGTTTGTTTTTTTTCATGTTTTTAATGTAGCTTTATATTGCCGAGATCTCGTGACAGCCCAAATGGTTGCGGGACATTTCGTCGTGGGACATTTCGCCACACGTATTTCGTCGCAGCGGCTAATTTGTTTTGGGATAGCTCGTTTTGAAACCGTTTTATTGTGTGACACTTGGTCGCACGACTTTCGCGGAGTCGAAAAAATATCGACTGGTTTATGGCAACGAACAGTCATATGACTATTTGCCACAAAAACGAGTTGTCCTTAGAAGAAATGTCCGTAAAACCAAATGTCCCGCGACGACCTGTCGCGTAGCCTGCGGATCTAGCCAACTCAAAACTTCAATTTTTTGATACGACAGATAGTATTTAAACGGTGATAAAATGGATGCGTGGGATCACTTACACGATGCCCATAAAACACCATTCAGCCGACATTTCAGCGCAGAATTAATGGAAACTTGTGGGAAATAATTAATAGTTGCTCAAATTGACCTCGCAGACTGCATCTTTTGCTACTTACTAATTGCATTTTCAGCCATTCAGCCAGCTGTTCAGTATTTAATAAAATAAATTTAATACATATTTATTAGATTTTAGGTTAGTGAATACCTAAGCTGCCAGCCTACCACCAGTATTACAAAGTAACGTAGGTAGTGAATGCCCAAGTTACCACCAGTACTACAGAGCCGCTACATTAAGGAATACAATAAACGGGCCGCGGACCGGCTCTTAGATATTTAGGAATTAGATAAGTACTCGTATAAATTAGACACTTTAGACCGTGAGATATTGAGGTACTCAGATTTCTAGATATTTTTAAAATTTAGAAACTCTGGAGGCTAGAAATATTTAGAGGTAACGGCCCCGCGCACGAGTCGAAACATTTAGAAATTCTTGAAATGAAAAAGCTTTAAAGCCGACTTTGGAAAATTTTATACTGCATAAAATTTTCCAAAGTCGGCTTTAAAGCTTTTTCGTTTCAAGAATTTCTAAATGTTTCGACTCGGCCCCGCGCAGCGGGGCCGTTACCTCTAACTAAACAAACTAGACATTATACTGTGATTACTGTCCACACTATAATGGACTGCCAGCACTGATGCGAAAAATTAAACGCTACATGACGACTTTTTTAAATTTTCGTTTTGTTTCTTTTTTATGACAGATATGTTTCTCCCTTCCCTTCCTTCCTCTGTCAAAAGCGTTTGTTTTACACCACGCTAATCAAGAGGTGACAGATTATAGTTAGTTCAGCCATTCAGGACATGTGGCCATGTCGAAAAATCGTTTCGCGATGACGGACACTGTCCTCCATTCCCAAACGATTGTTCGACATGGCCTGCTCCTATGTGAATGCACGAATGGAGCGCTTTTGTAATATCGTCGCATTACCGAGCTTTGAAAGCGAGCGGCACTGATTTTGGAAGTATTCCGTGAGAGCTGCGTCTGCTAAACAGAGTTGCACCACTCATTGCACTGGAAAGGGCAGGCACAAGACTCAGGCGGAGGTCAGGCTGAGGTGCCCATGAACAAGCTGCTTCTGAGCTTTTTTAAGTTGCCACGTTTTATCGCTTGCCACATCGCATAGTGGCAACTGCCACTGCCGGTGGCAGGTGCCACTGCCACCTTTTATTCCCTGCCACACACACAAATGATACGGGACATATAATGGAATGTCTGGGTTTTCAAACCATTTTCATCAATATCAATACATTCCTAATACAGCTCCAGTGCACTGCTTCACTTCTATCCGTTACGGGATTCTGCAAACGACGTTATCATGGTAAACTCTGATAGCGTCATGGCGGTATATAGCAGTTTTGCATTACTTGACTTGTGTCCGTTACGGATGCTCCAATAACGGTGCCAAATCCCGTTCCATTAAGATTGCATAAGTGGTATAAATAACACGTTACACAACCTACAGAGGCCGACTTTCTATCAAAAAAAGTGCTAAATCTAATATTTCCAACTTTTTTTCCCCAAACGTATCAATGGGTGCAAAACTTGTTTCTTGTTCTGATTTTAAAATATTTATCTTTAAACACTTTAAGGTTTTTTTTTGTTTTGGCCAAACTTTTAATTAAAAGGATAATTTGTTAAAGATGCTGACGTTATTCTAACGAAATCACGCTTTGTTGCGTCCCTCGAAAGTCAGCATTCTGACACTGAAAACTATGATTTTTCTGGAAGAGTAGCATTATCGTAGTCTTCGAAATTGCAGTTAGGGCCTTTTGGCGTAGCGAGTTCCGGGCACTTTGACCGATGGTTAAGTCACCACACCAATTAAACCTCAGTAAAACCAATACAGTCAGTAAAGTACATATGTCCCGTATCATTTGTGTGTGTAGTATGTTACTGTATAATCCCGACTTATCAAACCGTTGGAAAATATTTCATCGGTACACAGGATGCCAACAGAATTTTTCATCGGCAAAAAAGCCTGCCCTGGTGTTGGTCAGAACTTTGTTCAGGTGGTTTGTCGTTCAAACAATTCGCAGGGAAAGCTTGCTGCAATTTCTATCGGCTAAACTTTGTACCGCGATGTTTTGTTCTGGTGCTGTCTACCACATTCTGCACAATGCCAAACCGCTTTAAAATAGTTTAAATTTTTTTAGAAGCCGCCTTGCCAGTGTTGACAAAGATCAGAAGCCGGAACGCTCTTAGGCGAAATGTGCACAGTTCTGACAATATGTATCCGCATCCGTCGTATATTATCCATACTGGCGCTGTCTGACTAGAAGAACTTCAGTTTTCTGTGTATTAATTTCTTGCACACCGGATAGATATGTGGTGCATTATCAGACCAGTGCCCTTTCTTTTGCGGGAGGGATTAGGGAAGCTTCTAATGATCACTGCAAAATCGACTGCAACCGTTCTGTGCAGAATTTAACGGCCAGTTCAGATATGTAGTGCCTTTTGTAACAAAACATTTGGAGCACCTTTTCGGGTCTGAATATTTCCGACTCTTATTCCTTATCGGTTTCAAGCGCATGCTGCATGTACACACAGTTTGAAGTCCATACAGTATATACAAATTATTTGGCTACAGAATGGAATGTCAGAAGACAATGCGGGAAACGTGTGTGAGAGAGCGCGAAAGCAAAAGTTCCCGCGTCTGTGCATAAATTTGTTTGCTATACTGAAGTATACCGGGCTGGTTTTCTTAATCTCTCCATTATCTCTGGAACCATGTAACTGTTAACACCGATTCCACTTAAACCTGGTACCACCCTTTCTGTACCATGCTTACGTTGGTGCAATGTTGATTCACTTGGCTTGGAAAACATTTGCAGAGAGATAAACCGTTTGATGTGCGCCACATGAATTCTGCAGGCTCATTGATGGTTCTGTTAGCTTAAACCGGGTTATCGCTAATGGGCTAAATCAGACGTCTCTACGATAGAAAGAGCAATAGTTATTGCGAAAAGGGGTAGTTCCAGCCGAAGGTTGATAAGTTGTAAGGCGAGGTAATAGGCATACCGCATACGGATACTAGAACGGATTAGTTGCTGCTCATTAAAGAATGATTGCTACACAGTTGTTATCACCAATGGGTTGTGCTGTCTGGCTTTTGTATATGACAAAAGCGATGTGTTCCTCCCATACCGGGCTGCCCTTATATAACGATATTATCTGGGGAGACCGTGATACTGGATATAGAAGTTTCATCCAAGCAACGGGGTTTCTCGGATCGACCGGCTATTGGCCGAACAATCAAGCTATCCCCTATGCATTACACGGTTTTAGTAAGTAGCTATCTTTTGACAGCAAAAGTTGAAGGGGAAGAGCATTGAATGTCATAGCCTCGTTTTAGAAATCAAAGAAAGAAAAATTATAGAAGAAGCTCTGGACATCATTGCATGGAAGAGCAGTGACTGTATAACATTTAAGCCTCGCACAACGGAGGAATTATATATCCAGTTTCAACACCAAACGGGAATCCGAGCAGTGTAAATATCTGTGGCTCATTCTTTAATCTTGCAACCTGTAGAGTCGAAGAACGAGATTTACAGAAAAGGCATTGTTGAAACAGGTGCCAAGCTGATATTGGTCGCATCACCAGCCGTCCTACAAAAGTGCTCCTGCACTCGGAATGCTTATCACCAGGCATCGTGCAACACGTCGTCATGCACGCCCTCGGATTCTTGCATGAGCACAGTCGTCCAGACCGAGACAATTACATCAGTATAAACAGGAGCAATCTCCTGCCAGGAGTCCAAGAAAAAGATATACAGATGTTGTCGCAGATGGCGACATTTGGCCTGCGTTATGATGTTCAGTCTCTGATGCATTATGGCCCGGAAGTGGCCATAAGTCCCGAGAGACTGGCAATCGTTCCCAAGAAATCCCTACCGCCGCTGCGGATAGGGCAGAGATACGGGCTCAGCCACCTGGATGTGGCCAAGCTAAAGACGGCCTATAACTGTTCGCAGAGCGAGATTTTACAGCCCCTGCAGAGCAGCCTCAGTACCACCGTCCGCTACGGGGATATGCCGCTGCCAACCAACAAGACGCCCATCCTGTATACCGTCAAATTCCATGGCGGATTTCTGGCAGTTTCGCAGAATGCTGACGGTTCCTTGTACAAAAGCTTTAATCACTTTGCGTTGACTAAATCTGGCATCCTCAGCCAGTCGTGTTCCTTCACACTCCGCTGCTCTGGTCTGCTCACCGGCCTGGCGTTTTTAACGGCGGCATACACAGCGTTGTAGTTTATTTATTAATTTTCAGTGTAGTAAAATACCGTAATTCTTATGTATCTTGTTGTACATGTGCTGGGAATTATGTGGATTACCGCCGATTACGCAATATGTGTAGAGTAGTAATAAAATGGCTTTATTGCGCCGGTGCTGAATTGAAACTGTCCTCGCCAACCACGTTGACAACAACAATGACGGATGACGGCGTGTAACACACAGACATACTGTAATAGAGCGTATTCGCGTTTTGCATGCCAAATAACGATCAAAACTAAAACTATCGAAATAAATGGTAAACAGTTAACGTTTCTTCTTTGCATTTATTTCAGATAGGGAGAAGACTAAATTTAAGTCTGTTTGCCATTGTGGTAGTCGTCTTCGTGGCCTCCACGATGAGTCTTGGGGGGTTAATTCCGAATCGCCGTTTGGCTCGTAAGATGATTGGTGTTCGGTTACGTTACACTTGAGTCCTTAAACGCAATTTACTGATTACACGCAGCGTTGCCGTTATTGTTTGAATCACTGATAACATGACTTTCATTGCTGAGCTCATGTAACAACACCTTTATGACCGTTGTAGCAGACAAGCTTGTAAGGGCCGATTGCTTTTTGATAGAAAGCTGCCGCGCTACGAAGACGAGATAGTAGTAGAGGCATTTGTTCGTATACGCGTTTTGGAGTGATAGGCTAACCTGAACGAGTTTTTTATTATAAGGAGGGTAACCTGTACATGTTAATGGAGAGGAGGCTGAGTGGAACGAGTTTGCTTAATATATGGGTGTAGCGTATGGGAACAGCTAGATAGCTGTGATAGTGCTAACCACCCTATGGTGATAGTTACTAGGTGGTGTAAAATATTGTAACCCTGCTGTATAGTACTGCAGGGTGTAAAATGTAACTGCTACTTTTCAAAAATGCAGTCGAAAAATAATTTCTCAGTTTGTTTTGTAACTTTACATTTTACAGTTGTAAAATGAGTTCAGCAAATTTTGAATGCAGTTTTTGCAAGAGCGAGTTCAAGCGAAAGGGCGACTATGATCGTCACTTACGCGAAAAGCATTATCGGCTTTGTAATGTCACTTGTATACATTGCTCTATATCTATGCGTAAGAGGTGCCTGAAACGGCACCTCCGGGAGTCATGCAGCGCACGTCAGCCAGGGACTTCAAAGATCGGATCCGAATGCCAGCCTCGGAATCCGATGAACCAGCCAAGAACTCCGGAGCAAAAAGAAATTTTGAGATGTAACTGTGGTAATGCAGCCAATGTTCTTATAGCGAAGAATACTGCCAATAGCAGTGTAGTTTTCTGGGAGTGCTCTGACTGCCGTAAGAAGGCGGCGGAGCTGTTGCTAGGCTTTAGTGAGTTCCAGTTCCAATAAAATCACATTACTGGAATGGGGTTGTGCTCAACGTAATCCTAGTACAGGGACACAAGACAAAGAAATTCACACGGCACGCAAGCACACACACACACACACAAACACCGGTTGTTGGTTTAATTATTTTGAGTTTTTTAGTGTTTGTTTGATTTGTTTGTTCGTTTGCTAGTTTCTGGTTGTTCTTTATTAAAAAAGTAAGTATACACAAATTTCATTGAAAATAATTATTAGCTAAAAATTAAATCAATAATGTCTCCAGATGAAGCTTTTGCTCCGTTATTTCCGCCTGCGTTGGGAAAAGCGAGCCCTGGAGGAGAGACTGGATGAACGGGATGAGATCATCCATTCCCTGGAACAACAGCTTCTTGTAAGATCATTGTAATTTTTCAGTACAGATATACCGGTTTAGAAAATCAACAATTTTGTTCCGATGCATATAATCGCAAATAAATATGTTCGAACGCAGTGCTGGTGATTTATGCGCAGCGAAGCTGTCTTTCAGCAATTATGGATTGTTGATTTTTTTCAGTTTTTTTTTTTTACAGCGACTCGTGATCTAAATATTTTTGTTTTTTTCACTGATTGTTGATTTTATTATTTAATTTTTGAACCGCGGACAGGCTGGCCGATTTCCTTTTTTTTGAAACACTAGCAATGATTTGCTTTTGTTCAAGATCCGGGACCGAGAAATCGAAGCACTGCGGCCTGATGCGGAGGCCTTTCGCAACGGGGAAATCAATCCCCACCCGTGGTGAGCACCAGTCTATTTAAATCCTGGTTATTTAAATGTTTTTTGTGTTAACGCTAATTGAAAATACATCAAAAAAGTTAAAACCATTAAAAAAAAGTGTTATGCCTAATTTAGGGGGCAGGGGCACGCACCGGATATTGTCGGCGCTCATATAGCTGGAGGAGGACCAGGCTGATCTGTTTTGTGCAGATGCTTGTAATGTCGTGTGATCCCTTTGTGTGGGTACTGGAGAGCAGAGCTTACAAAACGTGTTGATATTTTTTCATTACATAATTCTCTGCATGGAATTGCAAAAATAAAAGTTATCAGTTTTTAATACGTGTTTTGTTAAACGTAACAGCGTATCGCACCGTGCACAGGCTGGTGGTGATTACCCCCTGTAAAGTTATACTGCATAACAAATCTATCAGCTAAGCATACAGCTCGCCTCGCTACTGGTGTCGAGAATCCACCGAGCCATCGCAAAATTCAAAAGTGTCAGTTGATATCTGTTAGATTGCTTGCTACAAGTACAGCTTCTCCAGTTTTTTAATTTTTTACGTCACGGAATTTTGCGGATGATAGATCTGAAGTGTTTACGTATCAGTATCCGCCCGAGTTCGTGGGTGCTGCTGCAGTGGCAGCAACACACGTTCTGACTGTTTAGTGTGTATCGTTCGTATCTGTAATCGTTCCCCTGCATGCATATGTTTCGACGGCCAGAGTGCCGCGGTGGACGCTCTTCCCCTCATCTCCCCTTGATCATCCCCTGCTTAGATATTTATTCCAAGTGAATTGGATGTTTTTTTGTGTTCCCGAACGCGCGAAGAAATCCTCAGTTTTGTCAGCTGCGTGTGGAGCCCTGTTGTCCGTCTGTGGAGACGGTGTCTTCCTCTTCCGCACTGCCCTCCGCCGCTCCGAAATCCCGTGGAAACGGGAGATTTTCGTTGATCCGTAAGGAGTTTTCGGTTGTGTACGGCCGTTGGTCGGATCCGTGTGTCCATTGTGATCGCCGTGGATTTCTGTGTCGTCCCATGTTGGCCATTGCTCCGCGTTGATCTTGATGTTGTTTTCCGTTGAGATTTTTTTATTTTCCCCGGACAAAGTGTCTATCGGTGTGGAAATGAACGATCATAATGTCGGTGATGGTCCCGTGGCCAAAAAAGCGCGTATCAATGCACAGGATTCTACAGGTTTGCTTATACGGTGTTTTTGCAGTGTTTTCTGGCATTTTTCGCTATTTTTCGGTGTTTTTATTACGTTAAAAATTATCGGGAAAAAAACCGTTAAAAAATCCGCGAAAAATTTAGCGATTTGTCGGAGTGCGCACGAGGCAGGGAAAAGAGAAGATTTGTGAAAAAAGGAGGTCGTCAAGTGTTCACACAGCATTTTATTCACTGTAAAAGGTGTAATTTAAAATGCGTTTTTTAGTCAGAACTCTTCACAAATGTAAGCGTGCATTTGTACGAAAATTGAATGAAATATTGAAATAAGTTTATCCAGATGTTGCTGCGATTTCTAAGAAAAAAACTGCTCAGGAAATGCTCACGATTACCACAGTTATCAGACAGCAGAGATTGTGCCTGAAAGTGATTGCTGCAGTTTTGAATTATTAGCAGTGTGTATATTGCTATAGCTGCTTACCTAATTTTTTCCTTTTTAAGTTTTATATGTGTGATTATTTTTTCTTAATATTTCGTATGCAGCATTGCAAAATCTGTGAAAGTGGATGCCAGTGTTGTCAGTTGAGCGTGCAAGAGATCGTTGGCTCATTGGTTGTTCGAAGAGGAAGTAAGAGAAGTTGGCTGTGCTTTGATATTAAATTGTTAATAAACGCAGAAACCGTGAATTCTTCATCTTTCATACTCTTGCATCTTTTAAATCCAGGTAATCATGCTTGAAAATTTGATGAATTTGCCGTTGAGAAGTTTATGACAGAAATCTGCAAGAAATTAGTTTTGAAATCTATGTGTTCGTGAATTTGAAGAAATTTTATCAAGTTTTGTGAACGATCGAGGTGCTTATTTTGTCATTTCGCGTTTATTCTGTTCATCTTGCAAAAACATTGTTGTGACGGCATTGTTTGCATAGATCTTGAGGTGGAGCGACACGCCAACATACCGGCACCCAATCACTTTTACTATCTCGTTCGTTCTCGTTTTAAATTTAATGTTTGTTTTCGCTCGCTGATTCTCAAATCAGTTCGACCTGCAGCGTACTTTATTCTTAATGAACTTCACCAATTTTTTTAAACTTCGAGTCGTTTGAACATTTAGAGCAAATTTTTTTAGTGCAAATGACGTACATCGTTTATTAGCCGGAAAAAAAGGCAGTGTACAAAATATGTCTAAAATATCAGAATATTATGTGTTCAGCTGATTTTGATTATGTGATGCAACGTTCTTGCCGGACATTTCAATCCAGTCAACGCTTCTTAAAGTGAACTGTAAGCGATGTTAGTATACATGTCCACATAGACGTCGCATGGAGATTCCCATCGGTTTCTAGTCGAGAGAGATATGGGAATAATTTTGTAGCAGGCATTCCGTTGTCGGCACGGAGCGGTTATGTCATGCTAACACCATCTGGCTGACAACGGCTTTCCTGCTGGCCATGTTTGTGGGAACAGAATTTATTTATATATAAATCTTTTGTTTGCATCCAGTAACTTCCGGTACCGTTCCTGCGGTACAAATCGCTACTCGTATTGGCTCGGTGTTGTTGTTTAGTTAGTCCTGACGGTAAATGTTAGTGTGTGACACGCAACTGCACCGCGGTAAATACAAATTGATCCGTTAAATTTATTCATATTTTATTTATTTACCAAAATTCTTATTTATTATCTAAATATTTATTTATTTATTCGTTCATCGATTCATTCATTCATTTGTTCGTTGATTCATTCATTCATTTGTTACGTATTGTTAGATTACCGCAAGAGGCGGATCCAAGTAATCCTTCCATGGAAAATTAATTGAAAATAAATTCAGTAAAAAATATAAATAATTCAAACAAATTTTTCTATTGGTCTAGCAAATAATTAATAAATTATATACCCATAATCGGGTTGAAAAATCGAACACCATCCACACAACCCGCTACGGGAATCGTGTGGATGGTTGATCCCGGGATAATTTAATTAAACGATATCGAGAATAGGATTCGATTTTTAATTTCTCCAAATATAAAATCGCTTTTACACTTCGCCATGGAGGCCCGCGCTTCGGTCTGCGATGCTACCGCACCGGTTCCTGACGTCGCTGCACCGGTCCATAACGCCATTGCCGTCCACCTCGCTGCCGCACCGGTCCTGTACGCTGCCGCACCGGTACAGAACGCCGCCGCTCCGGTCCACGATGCCATTGCCGTCCACCACGCTGCCGCACCGGTCCAGGACGATGCCGCACCGGTCCAGGATGCCGCCGCTCTGGTCCACGACGCCGATGATGCTGTCGAGGAGTTTCCGGCCGATGCTGTCATCGCGGCGAAGGTGAACGCGTACCTGCTGACCAAGTCGACGGATGCGGCGATCCTGGAATTCGATGGGATCAAGATGCCGGCAATCCCGATTACCGAACTGCTGCTGCAGTTCACCAACATCCGGTAAGATTTTTAGCTAATTGTTTCATTATATTTAATTATTAATTCAACCTCACGGGTTTCAAAATAAATAAAAATGTATGAAATGCGTAAAAATGGAAAAATAAATTAAAATAAATTACTGCCGTTTACAGTTCGATTTCGGCCGAGAACTGCGGCCTGCGTTCGTTGGATACGTTGCCGTGCAAGGACCTCCTGGAAACCTTGCACCTGGATGACAACGAGCTCGCCGGCAACGCCCTCCTGGCGCTGCGCCCGTGTATCAAGTTGACGGAAATCCATCTGAAGGGGAACGGCTTCACTAGCGCGGAGCAATTCGCTCCTCTGCGCAAGTTGCCGCTGGAGTGGGTCGACGTCAGCTTTAATCCGGTGACTCACTGCTCCTCGCTGCAGGAGGCGATGGAGCTACTGTTCCCCCGGGCCCACACCGTAGTCGTCACCAGTATCCTGGACCTGATGGCAGACGAGAGCGCACTGGAGGAGAGCGACGACGAGGACGAAGAAGAAATGGATACCGATACCGGTATATTTTTCTGTATTTAGGTTTATTGTTTGTGTGATAGTAGTATGAACGGTAAAGTTTTTGTAGAAGAAAGCGACTTCGAGGAGGAAAGCGAGAAGGATTCGGTGGAAATGGCGGCAGCAGTGCGTGCACTGGAAGAAGGTAAATTAAACCAAATAAAAATAAAATAATAAAATCATTGGAAATTTAAAATCATTCAGTAATTGGAAGATAAATTTAAAAATAAATTCCGGAATATTTCAAAACAAATTCAATAATAAATTTTAAAATTGTTTCGAAACATTCTACAACTGTAAAATAAATTCAGCTGTTTGCAGATCCAGACTGGGAGCTGGGATCGGAAGCGGGATCCGACAGCGAGGTGGAGGCGTTTTCCGATTCGGATATGGACGATAGCTTTGAATAGATGGTTTTCTTCTTTGAAAGTGTCTGCATTTATGTGGTTTGGTCTGACAGCAATAAAGTGACACTCGTTCTGCGCTTTACATTCATTATTCTCATTGTAGTTTCATACGAACAATCGTAACAAATAATATCATATCAGCTTTTCTTCTTTCAAAAATTCAAAATATTGTAATAAATTCGGGGATTCTTTCCCGGCGGCTCGTGCTGCGTCTGCATGATAGCGGTACGCTCGGTGTGCAATTCCACCTGCATAAAAAATCAGGAACCATTGGTAAAATGAAAAATTAAATCAAATCAAAGAAACTCACTTTTAATTAACTGGAAGTGAACGGCAGCATCGGTAGCGTCACATTGCAACCAGTTATTAAGCTCACGTAAAATTGCAAGCAGTTCCGTCTCGAAAGCAGCATACGTCTGCTGCGTGCCGCTCTCTACTGGCTTTGGGGTTCGCGACTGCTGCGCAGTTTCCCACGGGAAACGGGAAGAGCGTCCGCAGACATCCCCATTGTACAGTGTCTGCAACGAGTAATTTTATTTTCTGGAGGTTGCCACGGCAACTCTTAGCCAGTCGGCACAGGTGTAACATTTTGCTACCTTAATAAATTGTAACAAGTTCTCAAAACATTTTTGTTAATTAGTCTTAACTTTTACGAGTGATTAACAACAATATTTTTTAAAATGTCGGATAACGTTGACACTTTTGACTTTGAAGCCTGGTTGCGAAACGAAGCTGACGGTTCTGACTTTTTTCTGAACCACAGCGATCCTAATCTAGACTTCCTGTCCGAATTTTTTCCCGATCCTAATGCGCCGACAGCAGGACCTGCTTACGCGGATCCCGACACGCCGATCGAACCGGAGTTTTGCCCACGCTTTGAGTCCCTGTCACCACCCGCTTCGGAACCGCCGGCCATCCATGTCCATCTCCCAGAATTGCCTGGCGTGAATGACCTGCCTCCCGATTTCCTCCCACAACCGCTCACCGACGATGAGCAAGCGGCACTGCTGGAGTTTCTCCAACCAGGACCTGTCTCGCGACCCATCGGTTTCGTCAACCTAGAGGTCGCCACCTTGGTCCGTGCCGGCACCCTGACCGTCAAGCTGATTTTGGAGAACCAGATACCGCAGTACGGCACGGTGGTTGCGCACCGTGGACGGAAGGGACCACGCTGCGACATGGCCATGAGCGAGCTGCGGGCGCTCTTGCGTTTCCTGCTGTCGACGGAATGTGATGCCATGAATCGTCACAACACTTCGCCCAACGTCAAGAAGTGTCAGCTCGTGGACCAGCAATACCGCCGGGAGTTTTCGCCATCCTTGCATGCCGCATGGGTGCGTCAGGAAGCGGACTGCAAACGCCTGCTGCGTGTTTGCCGCGTAGGGGAGGCCAACATCAGCGTTTCGACCACCAGGATCAGCATGGACGCTGTCCGAAAATTGCGAAAAATGGACTTGTATCCAGTGCTGTTGCAGCTCTTCCCGGGATATTCCCAAGGGACACGAGGTAAGGTCACCGTTTCGTTCAATGTTCAACCAGTTCAAAGTTCAATTGATTCAGTTCAATGTTCATAAAGTTCAATGTTCATAACGTTCAATGTTCAATAAATTTAGTTCAATGTTCATAAAGTTCAATGTGCATTAAATTCAGTTCAATGTTCACTGAACCTTATATATTTAGTTCAGTGTTCAGGAATCTTAATTTTCGCATTGAATTTGCTCTGCATGCCGGATTGCTAACTAAATTTCTGATAAACTATTTTTCAGATTTGCCTGTCGGATTCTGGAACGATTATCGCTCGTACCTGGTCATGGAGTGCGTCCATCTGGCCAAGGTGAAGGATATCTATCCGTCGGAGGATAATATACGATGGCTGGTTTATAGTCAACTGGATATCGCTAGCTTTTATAGCATTCTAATTGAGTTGTTACCAAACTATGCTGACTGCTCTTTTGCTGCTTTTGCAAACGATGACGAAGTGCGCAAATATTGTTTTGATCATGCGTTCAAAATGTTGTAAGAATAACCGGTTTCCATTTTTCCACGGTGTGTATGGTGATTATCGGTTTCCATTTTGTGCTTGCCAAGATATAATGGTAAATGAATAGTGTTAGTAAATATTAGTCGGGAACATTTTTATGCTGCTTTACTGAACTAGTTGCTACAATGGACTATATGTTATCAGATGTAGACATGGCCGCTTTATTGACCGATGGTGAATGGAATGATGACCCTGTAGAGTTAGATGCCGAAACATTAAACGCTGCCGCGCTTCTAGCTGCTGAAGACGACTGGGTTTTTGAAGATCCTGTGCCTCAATGGGGTGGTAATACCAGCGTTGTAGACAATGTCGATATTCAGTGTATAGGTCGCAAGTATTCCCCAAAATTCCGTGTCCACCTAAATACTTTTAACATTAAATTTTCGAATCTTGAAGATGTTGATGTTAGTGATGTCCCGGAGACAATCGTTTCTATTCTTGAGTATATATTATTTGTTGTTTTGAACGGTGTTAAGGATACGGATCGCGTGCGTTTACGGATTGATTCTCGGCATTTTAATCGCCCTTTGTACACTTCGCTGACGCTTCGTTCGGAGCTCAGCGTTAAACGCTGGATGACGGATATACAGCGCGTGCTGAATAGCCACGAAGAGTTTGTTATTGATGACTCCTTCCAAATCACCGCTCAACATACGCAGCTGCCCTCCGGTCGTTGTGTGAAAGATGTTCCCGTCCTTTTGAAGCGCCGCCTCATGAAGATGCAGTCCGTGGTTATTGTTAATGGCGATGATGACCTTTGCATGGCCCGAGCACTGGTGATGGGAAAAGCTTTGGCCGACAAGAATTCCAAACGTTTTCGAAGCCTGCGGAAGGGTAAGCGAGAAATCACCAAGCTAGCTAAGCTTTTGATTTTGCGAGCGGGTTTACCGGAGCGGTCATTCGGTCTAAGCGACATTCCAGCATTTGAGAAAGTTCTCAAGGGTTACCGTATTATTGTTGTCAGCATTGATCATGCGAACGCTATCGTGCATAAAGGTCAAAAGCACAAAAAGCATATCATTTTACTTCATCATGACGGTCATTTTGATCTTCTGAAATCTCTTCCCGCGTTTTTCAAACGCAGTTATTGGTGCTTTGACTGTATGAAAGGATACAGTAGTCGCGTCAAACACCGTTGTAAAGGAAAGTGTGCCCTGTGTTTGCGAGTTGACTGCCCTGAAGATACGGCTAACTTTATCACGTGTTTGGATTGCAACCGACAGTTTCCGGGGCAGAACTGCTTCGATCACCACAAGCTCGGCAGTGGCAAAGGTCGCCATAAGAAACGGATAGCACTGTGTGATACCGTAAAGGTGTGTGTCCAGTGTCGTTGCATATATTCCAACGCTCAGCGCAAACCGGACAATCCGCATCGCTGTGGTGAAACCAAATGCAAAGTGTGTAGCATTTTTGATTTGCCATCTGAGCATCGTTGTTACATGCGTCCGAAACCCTTCACATCCGATCGAAAAGCGCGCTGCAGTTCTGCCCAGTTTCTTTATTTTGATTTTGAGACGTACGTATCAGCATCCGGTGAACTGGTGCCCAATTTGGCGGTGAGTTGCGACCGACCTAATTGTCGTTGCAGTGTTTCATGCTGTCTTTATCAAACAGGTTGTCCAGGACAGTAATGGGGAGGAGTGGACGTTTCCTGATTCCACTACTCCTATTGGAGGCGATGTTACCAATGACCTTTGCGAATTCCTCTTCCAGGAAGACCACAAGGGATTTTATGTCATCGCACATAATTTCAAAGTGAGTTTGCGTAGCGTTGGTGACCTTTGTAGTTGGCGACCGACCTTGAGTTGACCTTTGCATTCGGTGACCTTTAGTCGGTGACCTTTATTCGGTGACCTTAATCGGTGGCTTTTACAGGGTTTTGATGGTTATTTCATCCTCAACTGGCTTCTACGCAATGGGATTGTTCCCAAAGTGATCATGAACGGGGGCAAGCTTTTGATGCTGGACGTGCCGGCACCCTACGACATACACTTTCGTGATAGCTATAGCTATAACCCGCAAAGCCTCTCAAAATGGCCAGCTACGTTCGGTCTGGAAGACACGAGTAAAGGTACCTTTCCGCACAGGTTTAACCGCGAAGAGAACTGGAACAAGATTGTTCCTTTCCCGTCAAAGGACGAGTACGGTTATACCAGCATGAAACAGAAAGACCGAATTGCCTTTGATCACTGGTACGAAGCTGAAGTAGTTGACAAGAACGGATTGTTCGATTTCCGCCGTGAGTTTGAAGGCTATTGTCGTAATGACGTCACGGTTCTTCGCAAGTGTTGCCAGCAGTTTTGTCAACTATTCATGGACATTAGCGATGGACTGAACCCTTTCGTCTCAGCTCTCACCATCGCCGGTGTTTGCAGTAATTACTGGCGGACGTTCTTACTTCAGCCAGAGCAGATTGGCTTAATTCCGAATCATGCATACAACCGCAATCGTCCCCAGTCCAGCAAGGCCTTACGATGGTTGCAGTGGACAGAAGCCGAGAGCATGTGCACATTGCAGACCAAACTATCCGGAGCAGAGTACAAGATTGGTACATACTTTGTTGATGGATATTGCGCAGAAACCAAAACTGTTTACGAATTTCATGGTTGTTGGTTCCACGGCTGTCCTCAGTGCGTCGCTGCTGATACAGTACATCCGTACCGTGGAATGAAGATGTCGGACATTTACAAGGAAACGCTGGATAGAGATCAGTACTTTAGAGATTTGGGATTTCAGGTGGTCGTTATGTGGGAGCACGAATACGATAAATTAGTCGCAGACGAGCCAGAATTCAATGAATTTATCCGAATGGTCAAGATTCGGGCCGGAATTAACCCGCGCGACGCCTTCTACGGAGGACGGACGAACGCAACTCGCCTTCATTATAAAATCAATGGCAATGAAAGAATCTGTTATTATGACGTATGCAGCGAGTATCCGTTTGTCAATAAAACCAAGCGCTACCCCACCAGCCATCCTCGGGTGATTACTAGCAATTTTGCTGACCCGCGCAGCTATTTCGGTCTGATGTATTGCGATATACTTCCGCCTGCAGATCTCTATTTGCCAGTACTACCGTACCGCAGCCAAGACAAATTAACGTTCCCGTTGTGTCGTACATGTGCCGACCACCGCATCAATGCTCCCTGCCAGCATACTGATGAAGAGCGGATGCTTACTGGGACTTGGTGCACACCAGAAATTATTGCTGCACTGGATCGTGGTTATATAATAAGTTCGATTCACGAGGTGTGGCAGTTTGATCAGTACGAAGATCGTCTTTTTGAAGGATATATCAACAAATTCCTCAAGATTAAAACCGAAGCTAGCGGTTGGCCAGTGGATGTGACGACAGAAGCCCTGAAATCTCAGTATATTACCGAATACAAGAGTAAAGAGGGTATTGAACTGGAACGGGAAAAGATCAAAGAGAATCCTGGATTACGCTCGCTGGCCAAATTAATGCTGAACAGGTAGACCAGCTTATTGAGAAAAAACAAAAATACACATTTTTTTTGTTTTGCTATTAGTTTTTGGGGACGTTTGGGAATGCAAAGTGATAGGTTGATCACGGAGTACGTTAGCGAGCCAGCCCGCTTTTATGAATTGCTACTCTCCGGTCAGTACCACGTCCATTCGTGGGATATGTTTGGGGAGGAAGTGCTGCAGGTGATGTTTACGAAGGAAGAAGGGTTTCTCGAAGAAGATCCGAGTACAAATGTGGTCCTTGCAGCGTATGTATATTCCTTTTTTAATTGCACCGCATAAAGGTCAACTCTGGTTTTTAGTTTCACCACTTGTTGGGCTCGCCTTCATTTACTGCAGTTTATGGAACACGTACAAGACCGCCTGTTATATTTTGATACAGGTGGGTTCGTACTGCGTGCGCTGTAGGACACAGAAAAACTGCAGTTATATCTGTTTAGATTCAATAATTTTTGTGGATCAGCCAGACAAACCGAAACCAGCAACGGGTAAATTTCTGGGCGACCTGACCGACGAACTTAAGCCGGGCCAATACATCACCGAGTTTGTCAGCTTGGGCCCGAAGACGTACGCCTATGTGACGAACGACAACGCTAATACAGTAAAGGTCAAAGGATTCACGCTGAATGGGCAGACTAGTGAAGTAATAAATTTTGAAAAGATGTTGTTAATGTTAGATAATTGTGACGAGCTTTGTGTGAATTATCCTGATTTAATCAAGCGTGATAAACCTACTTTGACTTTACAACAGTACGATATGTCTAAAACACTTCGTATGACTTATGATAAACGGCGAATAGTGGAAAACTGGAACACGCTACCGTTTGGTTATGTACCGAAATGAATACCATGAGATTTGTTGGTTCTGAATTTTTAATGAACAAGTTGAGAAACTCTGACACGTGCTAACAGACGTTAAATCAAACAGAACATTTTGACATTTCCATACGTTATTGTTCTGATAACACTGTCACAAAACTAGCAAGCTAAGCATTTAAGTCGAGTTAATAAAAGTTCGCAGCATTCCGACTGCCCCATCTCCCACTGGTTGGAAGGAGAACTGCCATGTAAGTCTTGTTGCTTGAGCCCCCCAACGGTACTTTGAAGTCAAATTCCTTGTAGATTCCGTATATGGATGCCCCAGCGGATCAAACCGAAGAAGATCAGGTAGGTAAGTCAAGCAGTAGTGTTATTGGCAACGAAGACAGTGCAGGCGGTGTCATTGACGCAAAGGTCAACCAGGCGGGGTCGGTGAGCGATAATTTTGATAATATTTTCTGCACAAATAAATGTAATTAAAATAAGAACTAAAATCAACCATAAAATACCAATGCAGAATTTTCCCAGACGGTTGTCGATCCGCTCGACAAGGTCCAGTCTGGGAATCATTCCCTGGACGTTGGCCATTTTGTTATAAGTTCAACAAAAACAAACCTGCTTAAATAGTTGGAGTTATTAAATCTGTTTTTGGTAATATTATGGTTTCCATTTAGCACCGTTACATTTTCGACCCGGTACAATTATGCAACCCTTTTTAGTGTTCCGAACTGCTCAAAATAAACCACCGACATCCTAAACTTATTTCTAGCCTTTCTTTAGTTGTAACAGTTAAAACTGATTTTTATAAGGTTTTTGTCCGAGCGCTTACATAAACACAAAAATGAGTTTTATGGAAAGTTTTCGTATGGGTGACGGAGTATTCTCCACGTATGAATCTAGGCTAGCTACATACGATTTTTGGAAGTCTCCTTGCAAGCAAAACTTATCACGCCAGTTAGCGGAAGCCGGTTTTGTTTACATGGGCGGTTGGTCTGCAAATTGCGTTCACTGCCAGTGTCAACTAGATCTAGATGATCGGGTCAGCATAGATGCATGGAAAAAGCATGTCACCCTCAACCCTTTGTGCAAGTACCTTCTGGAAATGCGTGGGAGTGCGTGGGTCGATGAGGTCCACAACAGACTTTCGGGAGGAGCGCAACCTTTGGAATGGTGGACATAAGTATTTAAGTGTTTCGCTGCATTTGTATCCGTATAATGTCTTTTTATTATGCCTTTATTGAGCTAACAAATCTGTTGTAATTATGTATTCAGTGTTAGACAGCGATCCGCGGTTCAAAGCATGTTTTGGTTGTTGTGTGTGCGGGCCGACCATGTCCGGTAAAAGTGAATTTGTGTTTAATTTAATAAAAAACAGAGAAAAAGTGATTGATCGTCCACCTGATCGTATTGTGTACTGCTATGGTGAATACCAAAAAGGATTTGATGTACTATTGGAAGCCGTGCCGACCGTAGAGTTTATTCAAGGTGTCGAAGAAGTGCTAGGCAAAGACGATTTTTTTAACACTAATCAGCATACGCTACTTATTATTGATGACCTTTCACATGTAATTAGCAAAGATTTGCGTTGTACTAAGCTTTTTACACAAGGCATACATCATAAGAACGTTTCCGTTGTCCTGATACTGCAAAACCTCTACAAACAAGGAAAGGCAATGCGCGATATTATGCTAAATTGTCAGTACCTAGTATTATTCAAAAATGTCCGTGATATAAATCAAATAAGTACCTTGGCTCGTCAGATGGGCTTATCGCATTTGGTGGATGCGTATCGCAAAGTGACCTCTGAACCATACCAGCCAATTATCCTAGACCTAAGAAGTACCTGCCCCGACTATTTAAGGGTTCGCTCACACGTAATGCCTGAACAGTTTATGCGAATCTATTTAAGCAAGAACGATTGTTGTTTACCCAAACCATGTCGGACAGAGTAAAAGCCCTTGCGCCATATATTATTACGCTACGGAGCCTTAAACCGAAACAGCGAAAGGTGTTATTACAGTATGTCAACCGGAATCAGCTCAAGGCTATTGAAGAGATTGCTGTGAATATTATTAAAAACACCATTTCTTTACCGGCCGAGCATTTGGATACCTGTAAAAGACACCGCAAGTCACTGAGACTGCTCGCGCTACGGCGCTATCCCTCCAAACAAAAGCGACAGATTTTACAGCAAGGTGGTTTTATCGGTGCCTTGCTACCCGTCTTTGCTGGCGTTTTAAGCAGCCTTATAGGTAATGGATGAATTTTTAATTGTACCGAAGCGAGTCATGGATGATCGATTGGCAACAAAAATCCAGCTGAACAAACAACCACCGGAAGCTGCCGAAGTAATATCGCTGGATAATCTGGTGGCCCAGATCATTCAACGCAAAGATATAAGTGAATATGAGAAGGCCAATCAGCTATCGTCCACCTTAGAACGTTTTCTAGCTTTAAAACCGCGCGCTATTCCTGAAGAAAATCCGGTGCAAATACCCAAATACGTCACTCCTAAAGCGCCCGAGCCGACAAAAGAACCGAAACGTAGAGCTCCTAAGCGTCAACTAAGTCCACCCGCAACGCCTGTGGATCAAATTTCAGAAGAGCTTTTCTATACGCCACCGGCTCACCGCACTCGTCGAAAGACAAAAGGAGCACAGAGAGGTGGGGGTGATCCACAGCTGAAGTGGATTACTTTACCGTGATATGTCTGCCTTCTTACCATCGGTGTTACGCCTCTGTCGCATTTTTAAAATTAACTGTGTATCAACTTGTTGTAATGAATCAACTGCTGAAGAAATATCTCGACGCCAAAAACCCCGGAAGCTTTGGAGGCGTAGAAAGATTTTATCAAGCGATCAAGCAACCCAAACTGAACCGTGCGAAAGCGAAGGAGCTGCTGGAGGAGTTGGATGAGTATACGGTAACAAAAGATAGACCTAAGCGCTTTAAACGCAATCAGATAATAGTGACAGATCTGCAGATGCAATACCAGATTGATTTAGCGGATTTTTCCAAGTACTATAAAGAAAATGATGGTATTAAATATTTATTGTTTGCCATTGATTGCTTCTCGAAAAAGCTCTGTGTAATTCAAATGAAGAGTAAAAATGCGACAGAAACTCGCAGCGCCTTGGAAAAAGTGTTTGACGAGCTCGGAGAGCCAATGCGAGTGCAAACTGACAAAGGTCGTGAATTTGTCAATGATGTCGTTCAACAATTCCTAAAAGCTAAAAGAATTGAATTTTTTACTTCCGAAAACGATGATATTAAATGTGCCATTGTAGAAAGAGTTATTCGAACGATAAAGTCCCGAATGGTACGGTTATTCCGACACAGGGTATCTACGCGGTACACAGACAAATTGGCAGATTTAATAGACTCGTACAACCATTCTGTGCATCGTGCACACGGAATGCGCCCGGTCGATGTCACGCCAGAAAATTCCTTGGACGTTTTCAATAAATTATATAAAGAATCTACTCCACAGAAACCCAAATTCAAGATCGGTGATACAGTTCGACTAGCCGTTAATAAAGGAAAACTGGAGAAAGGATACAACTATAATTTCAAAGAAGAAATATTTACCATTACCAAAATCGTTCGGCATCCTGTTCCAGTATACCGATTAAAAGATGAACGCGGCGTAATTATTAAAGGCCAATTTTACGAACAAGAATTATCGCGTGTACGGAATGCTGAGAATAAGGAACATACTATAGATTTTGTTATTAAACGTAGTAAGGGAAAAGCATTAGTAAGGTGGTTAGGATACGGGCCAGAGCACGACTCGTGGATCAAGGAAAAATGTTTGAAGGTTCGCCATTCTACTTAACATTGCCTAGCGATGTCAACAGCTTCTCAGAGAACACGGCATCGGACTGGACAACGCGGCTAAAGCACCCCATCACTCTTAAAGGCCGTTGGGAAATGGCTTTGGTCGAATTTCAGTGCAATAATTCTCTGTACACTCTGAGCCATGACCAGCATATTATTTTGGATACTGTATATGGCCTGGAGTATACTAGAGTCTGGGATAAAGAGAAAGAGGCCAATACGGATCGGTTAGTAGAAATACTAGGACGGAGTTCCTATACTGAGGACATAGTAGTGCCCGCTGGTAATTATAAAAATGTGGCGGCAATACTGGAGGTGATCAATAAGAACGCACCAGTGATGAGCATGAAGAGCCCTTATTTCCGCGTCAACGGAAGCCTTCTCAAGAACTTGAGCATTTTGCCAGAAAATAAGTATGTGCAAATGCAACTCGATAGCCATAATAATCAACGGGTTAAAATTACTGTTGGAACACCGCGAACAACCGTGTATTTTCCCCCGGAATCCATGGCATTGCAGAAAATGCTGGGATTTCGAAAATCACACCTAACAACAGACTTTTGGGATCTCACCCCGCAAAAGGCAGATTTTTTGGCTGTTGATGGCGTTGTCGAAACGTTTATAGAAAAATGCAAGGATGAAAATTATTCCGAAACTCGGGAATTTATTGCTGATCAAGCGGCTAATGCCCATTTGCAAAATCAGAATGTATTTGTGTACTGTGACGTGGCTGACTACAGTCTAATTGGGGATACGGCAGCGCAGTTTTTGCGAAATGTACCTATTAGAGGCGGTACTGATCCTCTCGTGGAAGCAAGATTTGATAAAGCGCATTATGTCCCTGTTATTGCTCAACACTTTGAAACAGTACATCTAACTCTAGCTGATGACCTGGGAGAAAACGCCAAATTCGAAAACGGTAAATCGTTAGTAAAACTTCATTTTCGCCCTCAGAAATTATTTTAAGATGCCTCTGGTACCGTACGTGCCCGATCCTCGGCGTTATGACGATGTTTTTGTGGCGCAAACTGGTGGTAGCCCTCTTCTGCGTTATCGTGGTACTCTGCAGAATGGTTCTGGTTTTGCGCAAGTATTAAAGAACATTATTGCCAAGATAACATCATTTGCTAAACCTATTATACGAAAAGCAGCACCTCACGCTAAAGCAGCACTCGAAGCAGCCACACCGCACTTGCAAGAAGCAGCGACCGGAGCTATTAAAGACGTAGCGGCCAAAGCTAGCGAAGCCCTTAATAAGCAGATACAGCAAGGCGAAGGTGTTCGGAAAAAACGTTCCCGTAAACCCCGTAAATCTGTTAAACGCACTCGAAGAATTCCCCCGACTAATATTCCCGATTTTTTATAATTATGGCGATGATGATGATGCCCAACTCGGAGCCAGCAATGCAGTTAGAAAACCAACTGTTTGCATTGCCGGCCACATTGACAGATCGTTGGCGTACTGAACATGAGAAACTGAATCCCACCACTATTTTTACGGAAGACGGTACCGCTGGAGATATTAACTTTTATATTCCCCCTAGTACAGCGGGTCTGCTGAGTCTAGGCGACATGGTTTTGGAACTAGAAGTAGCCATCAAAGTCAAGAAAAATAATCAGAATAATTTTGAAGTAATAACTGCCGCAGAGGGAGTCGCCCCTGTCAATAACTTTCTACATTCTCTGTTCCAATCGGTGCATGTGACTGTAGCCAACCGCCTAATCTCAGATGCTGCCACGTTTTACCCCTATCGTGCTTATTTTGAATCTTTACTATTTCATTCACCGGAAGCTCAAAGGTCACAGCTGACCTCAGCATGCTTTGCTCTGGATACCCCGGGAAAAATGGCTACAAATCCCGACAACACAGGTGAATTGTGGCGCCATGACCTTTTCGGTAAAGGTGAGTATGTCCAACTGTCCGGTAAAATATTTGCCGACTTATTCGACCAGAGTAAACCATTGTGTACTGGTATACCAGTCCAAATACGTCTCGTTATGAATCGACCGGAATTTTGTTTACGCGTGTACGATGCGGACAAAGACACTAAAACATACAAACCTTTTATCCGCAATGCTCGGTTGTCAGTCCGGCGCTATATACCAGCTCCGGACTTTATGACAGCCGTAGCGGGCCAACTGCTGAACCGGACGGTGAAATATCATATCGAGCGCATCGTAATGCGTGTGGCCGATATTCCCAAGAATACACAGAGCACAGTGGTGACCAACCTGCAGATCGGACAAATACCGAAGGTGGTATTTATCGGTTTTCTAGATAGTGAAGACTTTCATGGAAATTATCAGAAAAATCCGTTTAATTTTCACCATTTTGACGTACGTCAAATCAGTGTGGAAGTAGATGGTCAGAGTTATCCTACTAAACCCTACAATGCCGATTTTGCAAAGTCCCAATCATTAGAATGCTACGATGGCCTATTGGATGCGTTGGGCGCTAAAAACCATCCTAATGGATGCTGGACAGTGGATCGTAATGGCTATAACGAAGGTTATGCTATTTTTGGTTTTGATCTAACGCCTGGTCACACAGGAAGAGGACCGCTGACTTTAATCAAGCAGGGAAATTTAAGCGTATCGGTGACCTTTGCAAAATCGCATACAAAGTCCTTAATGATGGTTTGTATGATGGTATTTGATAGCATTATTGAATTTAACCAGCATCGACAACTAATTGCTGACTTTTCAACATGAACTCGGAGCAAATATCAGCGGCAATGCGAGCCAATGCCATTACAAATGCTCACTTTCGTGGCGTGTTCGCTGCCGACCAAGTTCCGTTGGACCTACGACCCTATCCCGCTACGTGTATTGTTAATACCGACCCAGCTCAGCAACCCGGTGAACACTGGATTGCTGTTTACCAAGATCGGCCTGACGTCATGGAAATATTCGATTCCTACGGCAAAAGTCCAGCGTACTACAGCGAAGCTCTGAAAAAGCGGTTTTGCAATGGCGATCGATTGATAACTCAAAGTGAAGTGTTGCAGTCTGATTACTCTACCGTTTGTGGGCAATATTGTATGTTTTTTTTATTACAACGATGTAGTGGTCAGCCGTTTGGAGCGATTATCAGAATATTTAATGACAATAAAATTAATAATGACAAGATGGTTTGTCGATATGTTAATCATTGTTTTAATTTAAATACACAAATTTGTAACCGTAAATTTCTCGAGAATCAAATTTCTCGCTTAGTGAAATAAACAAATGCGAAAAAAGCGGTATTGCGAAAATTACACGCAGTCAAAATTACATCATCATTTTATCCAGCTGAGCGCGCACTTCGGTGCGAAACTGAGTCATGTAACCTTCCAAATCTAATGCCAGCAGCTGTTCGTAATTAACCTGATTCAACATCAACAGCACACCATGCACTTGTTTCTTTTCCAAAATGTCTTTCTCGGCCATAGTCCATTCTTCATCGGTGGCAATTCCTCGCATTGGTGTGCGTCCAATAGTGCTTTCCCGGTGCTCACGAATTTTCCGAAACATGATCTCCGCCAGTTCCTATAACAAAACAAAAAATTTTAAACAGTATAAATGCTGCACAATACATAATAAGGATAAAATATCCAAAAATTATACAATATTCACACAATGATTGAATCACCTGTTTCAAACTGACTGAAGCCAGCCCGGGCATTGGATCCGGAGTAATGTCGTGAGCTTCATTGATGTCCCGGATTTCCTTCAGTAAGGTAAAATCCACAACGAGCTCCTTCAGTCCTTCGTAGGCCTTGCGTCCAAAAGAAATCCCCATCTTGGTCGGGTACAGGTCCTTGTTAGGCGTCAGGTTGAAGCGACGCACAGTAGCCAGATCCATACCGTTGTAGCGGCTCCAGCGAAAGTACAGGTTGTCGTCCAAGCAGAAATGCGGCGACAGCTTACCATTGTCGAATGATGACGTGTTCGAATCCAGGTCAGCTTTCCCGGTCAGGATTAAACCACTCAGGCGAAAAAAATTGTTGACCGTCATGGCGATGTACTTGTTGGCATCCGTCGGTTTAAACGTCCCATCAGGCTGCTCCTTGAACTCGGCCAGGATCACCTTCGTCTCTCCTCCCAGCCAGCGGACCAGAGCGAACTTGTCGAACCCGATCTTGTAAACCGGCAGCCCCTGTTCGGTAAAAGCGAAACGCGTGTGCTTACTGGTTGGATAGGTCGCTTCTTGCTTAACCAGCTTCTGGCGCTTGATGGGCTCCAGCTCCGTGCGGTCCTCCGGGCGGTCCTTGGGGAACTTGAAGGTCAACTTGCGCTTGGGGTTCTTCCGGGGTGTTGATGGAATATCAGCGAGGAACTCCATTGTAAAATCGTAACTACAGTATCTACCGTACAATCTATAAGCTTGCAAAAGCAAAACTTGCCAGAGATGCAGAAGAAATTTGAAACGGACTCAAGTGAGAACTAACTGAAAATGAAAGCGGTCGTTTACAAATGATCGTTAGTCGGTAAACTACCTTACCACACTTGTGCTCAAGCCGGTACCCAGTTGGACAGCGGTGTTAAAAATACCACGGGTCCATTTTGCAACCGTTGCGTTATGGTACCGTGTCCGTTTTACAACCTTGAACAATTTGACTACAGTATATGATACAGTAGTTAATTTAGTTGCTCTATTTTTTCTTTGCTGTTTTTCCGTCAATTGACAGTGCTGAGAAAATGGCTCCTCTCCACTGTGTTGTCGATGCGCAGTATACTGAGATGCAAAACGTTAAGATCATTAAACATTTGGCCATTATTTGCCCTGAGCGAGCCAGCAGCATGTTTTCAAATGTTTTCTTTCCGTCTAAAGATTACATCGTTGAAGAGTTTGGTTTAGAAAACCTTAATAAGGGGGTACTGTTCGGTATGCAGTTGTCCGAAAACCGACGCAGTTTACGGAATACTCTGGACACCTGGTACGCTGTGACGTTCAATGGTACTGACGATGACCGGGACTACACCTACGCTGTAGAGCATGACGTAAAGTTCTATGCCAAAGGAGCCGACAAGTGTGCGCTACTCGCTCCTATCTTGCGACCGGCTGCTGTAATCAATCTGGACGATTTGGACTGCCCACCGTTCCGTTACCTGTCCAATGATCGCCCCAGCAAGTACAACAAACCTGCCGCCTACGCAAAATGGCTGACCGAAGTATATTTAAGCAAGGATCCGACGATCTGCCCCAGTTGCATGATGGCTTTGCCCACCCGCAAAACCCAGTTGACTAAGCATGAATGCGAATGTGGAAACGATTATTGGCGCGGTAAGGACTGTTCGTTGCTTACCTTTATCCTAACTGACAATTTGCTAATAAATGTACTCGTATTATACAGACAGTCAAGGTGACGAATGTTGTGGTGACTGCGGAGTTAAGCTGCACGCTAAACCTACCGGACCTGGAGCGGAAACTACCGATGGCCCAGTATCTACCACATAGATTTTCCGGATTGCTCCTGCGGACCAACCAACCATTCAAAGGTCACTGTCAGTTATACACCAATGGACGGATTACGGTAAACGGAGGCACCTCCAGACGGGATGCTCGTATTCTATTACACTATTTCATTAGTTTATTGCGTACGCTTGGATATCGTTGTTTATTTCATAATTTTCGAGTGGTCAACATGATTGGCACTTTTGACTTTGGTCATAAATTAAGCTTAGAAGATATTAGTAATCGCTTGCATTTATCTTATACTCCCGAACTATTTACCGGTCTCTCTATTCGCTTATCGACATGCACTGCTGTTCTTTTTCATTCCGGGAAATGTAATTTTTTGGGCGCCAAGTCCGTTGAGAATTTAAACGCTGCATTATTAGAATTAAAAGCAAAACTGTACCTGTGGCGAAGTGTGTGTGCGTGTATGCGTCTATGTACAACAAATACCACCATTGTAACGGCTAGCAAATACAACCATCGTAATCATTTAACTGTACGCTACAACCCCATATTAAGCAAACTCGTTCCACTTAGCCTCCTCTCCATTAACCTGTACAGGTTACCCTCCTTATAATAAAAAACTCGTTCAGGTTAGCCTATCACTCCAAAACGCGTATACGAACAAATGCCTCTACTACTCGGGTTGTTTTACTTTGGCCGGCGTAATGGTCACCCGGGAAAGCGCAATGCAGGTGCGCATTGCGCGGCCTTACTATTATTTCCGTCGGGCAAAAAACTGTAACGGTTTCGCTTATAGCTATGTAACAAATGCAAAGGTTACTATAAATGCCGACTATGCAGTTAGTGTTGAACGAAACCGCAATCATTGTTTTCAGCTGATTTTAGGCATGTGCCGCATTGTTAAGTACTCTTTGGTGTTTGCCGAATTGGCCCGCGCAAGCACTAGCGGCGAAACGAGCAACTGCACAATCAGCACCACTCAGGTTTGTATGTTGTGCGCGCAGTGATAACGAGTACCGCATAATTTTGTCGCCTCGAAAGTTAGTAATCGCTCGGCTTTATGTATGCACTGCAGGTCTTATAAAGCCGCTGGGGAGACAACCTAGACGTGCGGATATGACTTTGTTTGGAAAACACTTACGCATTGTGGACGCTAATCTTGCACGGCTAGCTTGGTTTTGCTAATAACATACGATTTGTATGAAACGTCAGCGAAATGTATTCGTAATGTAATGCGCCGATTTTGAAAAAGAGCTAAAGCCGGGAAGGAAACACAACGAAATGCTTCTGTCCTTAGTTACTTAGAAGTGTTTGGCTGTGGTCAGAGCAATAGTAAAAAGGGAATAGCAAGAGCAATTACTCTGTTAATATACTGATTATTTAGCTGGGGTACGAAAGTCACCAGCGGTGTTAGTGGCCAAACTGGAACTGAAACTAAAGTAAATAAACTGTAATAGGATAATTTACAGCTTGAAAAAGCGCAAAATGACTAAAACACGGGAAGGGAGAACAACAAATAAATTACAGTCTCCATGCGGTAGCTGCACGAAATTAAGGTAAAGATTAATTTTTAACAGATTTAATCGGTTAAAGCCGCCAGGATAGCAAAGATTGCAAGCGCCGTTACATTACTAAAATTTAATAACCAAAATTTAAACATTAAAAAACAGCCGAAATCTCTATCGTCTCTTAGGTTAAAAGGTCACGTGCTCACAACAGCCTTGGCAGTAACAACGGTGAGACTAAAACGCTGCTTAAGGAAGCTGGGATGACGCTGATTCCTGTCCGCCAAGGAAACTGCTGGTGTGGGATGCAACTAGCTGGTGTACATCTACGGTCGCAGAATCGCATGTCACCGGCAGCTCGAAAAATCTGGACACGTGGCTCAGCTTGCAGAAAATGCCAAATGTCGCACATATTCGTTTTTGGAAAATGGATATTTTTCTATACTTTAGTGATTGAGACGTTGAGAGTATTTAGCCCGCTCTGAGTGAACTGTTGCATTTTATGGGCCGCAAAATTCGAGACTTAAGGGAAGTGGGTCGGTGCATGGTACCGAGTTCGTATACATGCACGCAAACTTACACTTTCGCGCACTCCCAAACACATTTTTGTTTCGGTTTATGACGTTTTGCAGCCAGAAGATTTGAATACACTGGCGTGAAAACCGTTTGTGCGCAACATCGGTTCGAGTTAGAAATTTCGTTCAGGTGTAAAACAAAAGTCTCATTATAGACCGATCTCTCTCAAATTTTGCACGTAAATGCGCATGTCCATGAAGATCGTTTTTACACCGATCCAGACTTCCATGATTTTTTTCAAATTTTAAAATGAATTTTAAAATTTTTGAAATTCATTTTAAAATTTGAAAAACATGCTAGAACAGTGGATCGGTGTAAAAACGTTCTTCGTGGTTATGTGCATTTACGTGCAAATTTTGAGGGAGATCGGTCTATAATGAGACTTTTGTTTTACACCTGAACGCATTTAAACTTTTTGGAATTTTGTAACAGCCATAACTCCCGAACCGGATGTTGCGCGCACAAACGGTTTTCACGCCAGTGTATACAAACCTTCTGGCTACAAAACGTCATAAACCGAAACAAAAATGTGTTTGGGAGTGCGCGAAAGTGTAAGTTTTCGCGCATGTATACGAAATCGGTACCATGTACCGGCCCACTTCCCTTAACTGGAGAAGCACGTTCTACTGCTTTCCTTAAGCAGCGTTTTAGTCTCGCCCTTGCTAAAGGAAATGCCACGGACGATACCTTTTAAACCAAGAGAAGATAGAGATTTTGGTTGTTTTTAATGTTTAAATTTCGACTATCAAGTAGGTAAATGATTGGTTCCGGATTTGGAAATTAAGAAATAGACCGGAAACAAATGAGCAAATTTATCCGCCTTTGGGAGAAAAATATCACTTTTCCTCTTTAAGTTCATCTCTGCAGTCAGTCAAGAGACAGGCAAATTTTCCATAATACCTGTAATTCATGCCATGCAGTTATAATTTTTGCACTGGGTTATGTCCTTAGTCCATCGCAATAATTACTCCGCGCAAATTGCGTGGGGTCTGCTAGTAAAAGGTAAGAGTCTAAACGGTTCTCGTATTTTACAACTGCATAATGTTTTTTTCGAATGCCGACTGTAGTGTCTTGACGAAGCTGTGCCTTAAAGTGCTGCATTATCTGGGGCAAACAACAAAAGAACATCAAGTGTCTTTATACGCCCATGTGCTCACAATTACACAAATTCTACGAGTAGAGTGCAATTTGTTCGAGTCTGCTGCGCCAGCATGCGATACGATGTTGTGAGGAGAGAAGCGGCTCATGTACAGCGGCAAGTCTTTAAAAGGGGCTTTAACACTTTGTGCAGTGGTACTGCCTACGCGGATCTAACGACGTAGCCGGGGTTCGATTCCCCTATCGACGCAATTTTCGGCCGTTTCTCGGTTTCCCTCGGATGGCGCCCTGCTGAGGATGTGTTAGCATGTTGCCGCGATTTCCGTAAACTTTGTTATGACAGTACATGAAGGGCAACGCCCGCAGAATAAAAATAAAATTGAAATCTTGCATTCCACGGTAACGAAATGTTTGTAATACTACAAGTATATAATACGTATGCATTAATTAAATTTTGAGTTACAACTTACTAGTAGACACACCATATCCAAACTGACACCTATCTGCAGGCGAGTTTTTTTGCATAAGCAACCGTGACCTTCTACATTTCTTCTAAAGTTTGGCTTTTCTAATTTTTCTGACTTCCAGGACAGATAGACAACTTTCTGTTTTTGTTGAACTAGAGGACTCTCGCTGCGGTCCGGTCGATTATACACTATACAAACTTAAAAACTGATCCTCGCCATAACTCTTTGGCCGTAAAAACTTTCAGCAGATCGAGGTCAACAGTTAACCGGTACAAAAAAAGTTAAAAAACATAACGCATAAACCAGTAATTTAGCGATTGCCAGATCCTGGCAAAATTCTTCGCTGAACGAGTGCTGGTCAGCCCGGTTTCAGCTTCATCACAGCGCATCCGAAGCCGTGCTTGGCCAGCGGCAGGCGGCATTCATGCAGCGCCCAGCTGTCGGCCTCTTCGTCGTACACCTCGATGCTGTCCTCTTCGACACCGACGACCATCGCTGACTCGTTATAGTCATATCCACCCAGCACATACAGCTTCCCGCCCACGCAGGCACATCCGGGACGACCTCTCTTCTTGAGGGTCTCCTGTGATAAGAACAACACACCCGATACCCGACGGTTCATGCCGACCCACACTCGTACTGTCCAACACCTGTTGATACCAGCAACGTCTACAGCATCACCATATGAGACCCACCTTTTCTCTGCCACTGATTGGTGGTGGGGTCGTAGGATTCCACTAGCGCGCATGCTACCAATTCCTCCACATTCCCGGGAGCGACACCTACAGCTCCGCCTACACAAATGCACCCGCAACATTTAGTGTACAGACTGTGGACCCTTCCGCCATGAGCTACTCTCCCTACTACTCGTACCAGATGAACTTTAATAAGTACTTATCATAATGCGAGTACAAACTAAGTACCAAGCAAAACGACGTTATAACTTCTTAGAATCCCTTCCTCTATGCTATCCTGATCGGGGATCGTACCCATTATACAATCGCGTTTCCCCGTTGTATTTGGATAGACACTCGTACTAGTGCGTACCGACAATGTAAATTAGTCCGCTGGGCGTCACACAGGCAGCCACCCCGGCACGCGGCGTGGGCATATCGGCCAGTCGGGTCCAGGTGTCACCGGCAGGATCGTAGGCCAAGGCCAGACTGCTACCGTCGTTGCCGAAGGCATACAGCCGGCCGGCACACGCCACCGCTACCCAGTAGCCAGTACTGTGGGGCAGCGCGGAAACAGCACTCCAGGAACGGCTGAGGAAATCGTACGCTTCCACGCACGCCAACAGATCGTCCTCGTCATCACGATGGGTGCCACCGATGACATACAGGCGCCCATTGAGGACGGCCACACCGGCGGTGTTGGGATGGCGCGGTGTCGGCAGGGCGGCCACCTGGCCCCCCTCGGTTCGCAGGCCAGTGAAGTGGCTGTCGCGCTGTACGGTGCGGATGTGCTCAGCGGTGGCGATGACCATCCAGCGGTCGTCCAGCATCTCTGCAACGCAGCCATCCACGGCCGCTGGCAGCGCCTTCATGGACCACGCAGCCGGGATGGAAGGGTTGATGACGTGCACCAAATCTTCGACGTTATGCGGAATATCACTGTAACCGCCAACGCATACGATCACGTCCTGCGCACCTAACACACACAAACAGAACTATCAAACATTTATACGAGAACCACAACATGCGCGCAGCGTTCAGCGTCCGCGTCGGCCAGCCAAAGGCTAGCTCTAGTAATTTACACTAAGATCACCTAACACAGTAAAATCGCTACAAACAAGGAACAACCCCTGGCTAACTAGTAGACGCCACCAATAATTCGCTCCATAGTGGACACAGAATCAGATCGTAAATACAGAACAATTACCGCATGAATGTCGTGGGATGGTGTTTTGCGCTGTCCCGTCGGCCAACTGCCCGTCCTCCGCGGACTGGCCCGACGGGATCCCCACCGGCGCAACGGCCAGAAGCGCCGCGTACTCCTGTCGAGCCTCCGCGCTGAGGAACGGCGCACGGACAGCCTGCAGGACGGCGGACACATGCGGCAGTCGTTCAGGACGGTCGTGATCCAGCCAGCGCTGCACCGCCTCCCACACCTGATCCTCGCTGGACACCTCCAAGTCATCCGACGCCAACAGCTCGGCCACCTGCCAACATTGCCCAACAAACAGGTACACTGCAGCATGTTGCATTCTGTGCACCTTTGATACGGATACGATTTAGAGTGATACGAAGGGCTTACACGAGACCCCCATCAACCATGTACTATTTTTTAAGCCAAATCTGGCCACTTATTAATAATCAGCGAATTTTTCTGATCTAGGAACCATTTTTTTCAAACTGTTTTCGGAAGAAAAAATTTCTGACTGCCGGTCCCCCAGGTGCCCCACCGTTTCTGTGGGCGGTAGCAACTGAGTTGAAGACGAAATTTTTCTGCATTCTAAATGCCGTTTCTAAGATGAATGAATAACGCTGAGCTCGAATATGATATTTTAAGAATATCTGTGGTCTGGGGATTATGGCAGGTGATGCAGTCCATAGACTGCTGGCTAAATAAGGCATCGGTATTTACACGATTATTGCATCATCCTGAACATCGGTGCGAACTTCTTCGACATGTCTGTGCCTCAAGTAATTTTTAAAACACTAAATTCCAGCCAACGTGTGACATCTGTAGAGTACTCTATTAAAAATCAATCAATCAATCATGATGACTATCACAGGGCCGTACCTGTTGCGCGTCCATCTGCAGAAAGTCCAGGCCCTGCGTCAAAGAGAGACAGTGACGACAGATCAAGTCCAGGGCTGCCGCGGCCAAATGGGGATTGTGGTGGTGGGAGGCCAACGCGTGGACGGTCAAGCAAGTGGACACGCACAGATGCTCTTCTAAATATTTCCAGCATCTGGCGGCCACCGGAGTCATCCCCAGAAACTGCGCCGCGATCAGAACAGACGTCACGTTGTCGTCGCTGAGGTTCAGGTCCATGGTGTACGCGTATCCTACCAACCTGGGCAAAAACCAGCGTTATCCATAAATCAGCCAAGGAGCAAATTGAAAGTCACCAAGATACCAATTACTGCCGCGTTATCAAGTCAAAGACTGTCATGATTAATCGTGGAACCCGTTCTACACGATGCTAGAAGCTGTGGTACGCTGTCACTCACTCCTTCAACGTGCGCTGATCGATGTTGCCCAGGCGGAACACTGGTTCCGAGGATTCCTTCCCATCGTGGGTGAAAACCGCGCGAAAATAAGGACTGTGCGCGGTGAGCACGCAGCGATGACAGGGAATGCCCACCGAGGATGCGTCGCTGCCTGTCAACTTGACATCGCACAAGATCCCTGTCGACTGCAGAACACGCAGTTCGCGCAAGAGCTCCACAGTGTCAGCGGGACAATCATGAGTCAAATCAGAACTGTTCAGCTTCGACATGGTGTACGAAGTTACGAACTTAGGACGAAAAAACTGTTCAAAATAGGAAAACAAATCAACAGCTGAATAAAAGAGCTACTTCAAACGCACTAAAATTCGAATATCAGGAGTACCTCAAAACTGTACTTCGGACCGCTGACGTGAAGATTGTAGGACTAGGCACTGATGAGATGAGTTCACGTAGCAGCCAGCCGACCGCCTAGCGTAATGAGCGCACACGCCGCACAGTAGATTTACTGTAATTGTGAGTACGACTACGTACAACTGTACAAGTAGATTAAATTTTGACATTTTGTAATTTGTACTAGTTTATAGATTTTGTCGTACTGTAGCTAGAGCTACTAAACAGCAGTCGTTTCAGTCTACTGTCACACAAAAGTTACACAAAAGACAAAAATCAGAGTTACAAAAACGCGGGCGAGCGAAGCGTGCCCGCTCGAAATCCGTTTTGACACACGTGGAGGCGAAACTAAGTGAAATTCGCCGAGGGATTATGGAACTCTCATTGCGCGACCATGGTTGCAAAGTGATTCATATTACCCAGTGACGAAACAAAATCGAATTTACTGAAAATCAAGCGTAATGAGAACACACATAATGTTGGTATTAGACAGATTAAGTTTTTCTTTCGACTGATCGCTGAACGCTGTTAAAACTCAACCCGGTTACCCGGATATCCAATGCTTTGCTAAGCGCGCAGGCCTTACCGTAACTTCGCACGGTATCGTCGTGGCTCAAATGGTCTTGCGCTAAACATCACGAATTTGGGGGAGGAACTACAAAATTAATAGGAAACAGCAGCAAAATTTAAGAGCTAGTGAAAACGTAACCTCTATATTACAGTATACGGTATCTGCGCTCACGTTACTGCCATTTGAGGAAGTGGTCGAGGATCCCGGGAGATGATACGCTTCTGCATACGCTACGTTGCGTAATCTATACGAAACGCACTTCACACACGCGACTTTCCGTAATAAGAGATTTTTCGAATCGCAATATGAATCGAGACGGTTCAGCTTCAGCCTAAAAAGTTTATGTTAATAGACGTAAATCGTAATTAACTTCTGGCTCTGTAAGCTTAATAAGTTTTGAATCGCGCCATCTATATACGCGCTGGTTCAGGTCTGTTTTCGAATTGACACCAATGGCCTCATCTGTTGGATACACAAAAAACTGCACAACGAACCGAAATCCGAGAGGTAACCGCACGAACATGGCAGTTCTTATACCAGTATAGACAACATTAGCTACCCGGTAGGTATCAGCATCGGCTTATCAAAATCAAAAGGCCAACAAATGGATAGAACAGGTGGTTTACGATTAAGCCGTTGCCTGTGGCTGGTAATGAAACAACCTGTGAACCGTTACAAAGCCGTTGTACCGTTCGACAGCGGAGAGTACTGACGCTTTTCGCAAACGCTATTTGTCTAGCGTGGTCACGGGACTGGTCCAGTCCCGTGATCTCGCTGAATGGCTGTACCGTAACTACTGCGTTTTCAATCGCATGCTCACTGGGGACGCCAATGTCTCGTGGGTTTTATGGTGACCGTTATTTTGCTGACCGGTGAATGCGTTCGTGCTGCTGCTGTTAACCTAGACACGCAACTAATGCGAACGGCTGTCGATGTCACGGATAACGACTGACTGTGTTCTGGATTTCGACTATCTCGATATCGAGCACACTTTCGCAAACACGGAACGTTTTTCCCTGTTTCATGTTCACAAGTCCACATTAGGATAGAATCCAGGATCTTTATTCACCAGGAACAAAGAAATCAAATGTGCTGGGCTAGTCAAGTTTAGTTATGTTCACCGCACTTCAGAAAACATTTACCACAACATCGCAATACCTACACACTTTCGGCAAACAGCAGTCACATGCGGACGGAGAAAGAAAAACAGAAAATGTTAGCAAAATGTTAATTGCTCTTGGGATAGCTGCTCCCTGAACGGAGGCCGCATTTCCACGCTGGATTTTTTTGACACTACACTGGCGTTAGTACTGCGTCGGTTTTGCTGTCGTATCTTCCCACCCAGCTTTTGTGCACAGGCAGGGATGATTTCAGAGCTGGAGTCCCACAGGGAAGTACAGGTAGCACTGGTAGTTAGCCGGTTGGCTCCAGTAGAGAGATAAGTAAATGATGCGATCGCACTGACTATCGGCCCACAGGTAATACTTTGTACTTTGGCGATCAGTGGCGCTAATACCGAGAAAGAGTTGGGTAAACAGCTGGCTGTCAGCGCAAATTCTGACACGACACGATCCATGTGCTTCCCAAGCGGTATAAAAATTGCACTTCATGTTGAAGTTATTGGATATAAGTCTATACCGCTCTATTTTATACCACATCGCTATCTTCGTATAGCAATGCACAGATGAAGTAAATTTGGTTGAGTTATTTATCCATACGAGATGTAACTCGCTCACTTGTGTCCACTGAATAAATTTTCAGTTAGGTTTGCCCACTTAATTTTCAATTGTGTCGACTTAATCAAGTCGAACTTCAACCTGCCGAACAATCGACAGGCCGTACGCCGGCAAGAACTACTTAAGCAAGATTTTAATTTATTTTTTGATACCGTTATCTGTTTTTAGCCTCGTCGATGTTTGGACAAGCTATGTTTGAGAAGTTGTTTCCGAACAAACCCAGCATTGACAATCTTGGTATTATCCGGAAACAACTTCTCAAACAAGCTTGGCGTATTTACTGGTTTCATGCTCAGTGTTGTTACGTAAATATTAGGCAGAGCTAAATAATTACGGACCAAACTGTCATCTGCGTGGCAGTGAGTTTATTAGATGCAGCAGAGTACACAATAAGGAAAAGAAGGAAACTACAGAACGGCAACTAAGGATTCCAAAGTAGCGTAAACGCCGTAAAGTAAGCAGTTATAAATGTGCGAAGTGCTATAGATGGGTCTTAGGTTACCAAGTTCAAGTGAGTAACAATATTTACCATAACCGCCGCTTTAGCTAAGGTAAAGCATACTAAATTTGGGAATTTTCAGCTTAGCATTCTATTAGCAGTTAGCAAAATATTTTGGCCGTTACATTGATCGTTTTAAGGGTGTTCCTTTCGTTGTTTCTAGCGACGAGGTTTCTAGGACAATTGACTGGTTATCTTCAACTTCTTGATTATATGCAAACTCGCTTGGTAGATGATAAGCACAGCCGCTGGACAGCGACAACCATGCTCATCGTGTATCACAGCAAGTTCGGATGTGTTATCTGTCATTAAGTGACAGAAAACCCATCCGAACTTGCTGTGACCATGAGAAATTCAAAACGACCCCACCCATAAAAGCCATCCAGCTGTGCAAGGTTGGTTTTGCAGCTGTTGCTATTGCTATTGGTGCGTTGAAAAAAGTATCGTCATGGTTTGAACTATGCAGAGTAACGGTCTCAGTGAAATTATACATCCACGACCCGTTGAAATCTGGCCTCAATATCTCAACAGGCAACAAATGCTAGCCTTCTATTTGCTGCCCGTCGGTGGCTAAGAAATTAGGTTTCCATGACCCGATGGACATTATGGACATGAATCATGGACATGATATTATGGACATTAGTCAAAAGACCGGCTTTTAACTGGACCGGATTGAAATCCGGTCCAGTTGAAATCCGGCGCTTTGACTGCAGACACTTTCGATAAACCCCCTGAATAACGGCCCACCACCTGAAAAATTATTGAACGAATGATGGTATGCGAAGTCATGGTAATGCTGCAACGACGGCATCGCGCGCCAGTTCTAACAAGCATATCCAGGTATTAGCGCGACTTTCGGCGGATCAACCGTGGATATGGTACGCGGCCAAGTTGCTTGTTCAGCAGAACTGGCGTGTTTGATCGTTCTGCTGAACAGTGTGGCTTTCATATCATTCACTGTCAGGACTGCGTTCCAGTCCAAGCGGTCCGTATTGTGCCACCCAAGCGCGTCTTCGGGGAACGCGCCGTTCGGCCTTCTGTGTTTATCGCTGCATATTATATTGCACGTCGGTCACCACAGATCGGTGCTCAGGCGATGGGCCACTGTGGAATATCTGAAATGAGAAACTAGGAGTATGGACGATTTACCCACTGTATCACCTTAAACGGCCGTGAGGCGTGAGGTACTGTTAATGAGGCCTCCGCCTACGACTGGAGGCTCTTAGTTCGTGTCATATCCGTTGTTTTAGCATAGCCTTGTTTCGTAAACGTTGCTCAGACACTTTCGGTTGTTTAATTTGTTCTATCTTGAATATACCATTGTCTGTTTGGTTGTCATGTTAGAAGAGAATGAAAGTACACAAAGTACGGTAGTGTTAGTTTGTTATGCGCGCTTGTATTGCCAACGATCTAAAAAAGAAGACTTTCCCATTAATTTTTACAAAGGTAACGGGTAACGATTACATCCATTGAATTGTTAAAAGAAGCCCAAAAGCATATTATGGAAATGCGAATTAATGCAAGGTGTGCGTTTTTCGGTTCCAAATCAATCCGACCGAAGGACGAACATGACTGTGATAATACCGAGCGCGATCGATCCAGGCGACAGACAGCCCGTGAAAATATGCTCGACGAAATGTTGGGGGCCTTTTACGGCTCACACTAGAACTCTGACTCACAGTGTATTTTACGACATATTTTATAGAATCGTCTTCTTCGGCGCTTTTGCTGTCTGGCGATGACCGATCGCTGTACTTCGCTACGTGACCCGACAACCCGTACCGGCATATTTTGTTTAGCTTGCGCACATCCAAATCGCTCAGTTCGTCTTCCACGTTGTCTGGCATCCACTCTCGACCTACATAATGCGCGGATGGTCACGGATCGTTCGTCTGGAATCTCTTTAAAATCTTCAAATGATGAGCAAATGTTTATTGAGCTACAGGGAAATCTTAACAGTAAACGCTATGCTATGGAATCTCTAAAAGAAATTTTTTATAGTACTTTGTATGTATGTATTTGGACTATAGGGAAAATCAGGAAGTATCTGTACCTTGAGCAAATCAAAATGGA